TATATATATATATATATATATATATATATATATATATATATATATATATATATATATATATATATATAAGAATTACAAATAATATATTTATCAAACTAATCTATCTTACTACTATTATATTTTTACCTTTGCTTGCGGATTGCGAATCGTATGGCCTTCGTCGAGGATAACATAATGCCATTGACTAGATATGATCAAGTCCTCATGCTTGACAACACCATTATATGAAGTGATGAGAATTCCGCCGGTTTGTAAAGATTCTATTAGATTTTTCGGATCACCTGTAATCAAGGACTTCATTAATATTGTTTATTAAGAAAATATATGGAATTAATTGTATATTAATGTACACTACAGATACTAGCTATTAAAATATCAATCTTGACATCTTCATATTCACCTTTGTAACAGCTCGATTGGTGAAGCACGACTACTCTGATAAAAGGCCACCATTCGTGAAAATGTTTCACCCATTGCTCCATTAAAGTAGCAGGACATATGATTATAGTCGGGCCCAATCCCCTAAATCTGCCGATTGTGCATGTAATATTAATACTTTAATTGATATATTCGTAATATTTATAATATTCTACAAGCTATATGTATTACCTTCCATTATGAGACAGCAATTCACTACAATCTAAGCCTGCGAAAAATGCGATAATTTGTACAGTTTTTCCTAGTCCCATTTCATCACCCAGTAGGCCACCTAACTTACGTCCATGCAATTCCCAGAGCCATCGAACTGCAACCTTCTGATATCTGTAATATAGAGTTTCAAATTTCTAAAAATAGAGTATATATAATTAGATTGTTATTAAAAATACATAAATTACTTCAATTTTCTTGATTCACTCATTATACCTGTACAATCTATTCCAAATACTTTTTGGTACTTTAAATAAATTATTAAGTTTGTGCATTGCTTCATCTTTGGGATAACTGCTTGTCTCCATTCTTTCCTTGAATACTTGAATGTTGCCATCATCTTGAACTAAACAAATTAAAAAAAAAATATATATATATATAAAATTAACGAAAATAAAGAACTATAAAAAATAACATGAGAAAAATTGAAATGACTTATGAAGTAACTATGATATATTATTGTTGTTAAGGAAAATGTTCCTCTTATCATAGTATGTTGTATTTATATACCTTTCTCATATAGTATATATGTACCTTTTTTTATGCGTGTGTATCCTGATTTTACTGGGATTTTTCTTCCTTTAGACAATGTTTCATCATCAGCATCTGTAAAAATATTTTCTTGTTGATATTTTTTTTATTTGTTCAAATATATTGTGTATTAATATCATTAATGTTACCTGATTCAACTTCATTATCACTGGGAACATACTCGCTTCCTGAACTATTGTTTAAAGTGTCATTCACTACATTTGAGGAATCTGTATCATTTATATTTTGCTGAAAATTATCCTTGGTATTTTTGACACATCTAGATTTATGAGATTTATTACACATTTTTGTGTCAGACAGTTTTAGTTTCTTGGTTGACACTATATTGTCCTTTTTTTTGAGAACTTCTTTTAATTTTCTTTTATGTTCAGCAAGGGCAGTTTGCTGTTTAAAATATTTTTCAAGATCTAATAACTGAGTACCTTTATTCGTAGTCCTAGAGATATAAAATAGAATAATTTTTTTATTTCTAAATTTTACTTATAAATTTGCTAAACTATATATGTAGTAGATTAATTTATGTACAATAATAATATATTTAATTGCTATCAAAATGTTTATTTTAAAATTTGAATTAGCAAAATGTTGAATTATTCAGTATAATAATAACATAGATAATATAAATTATATAAATTGTGTACCCCTCTTTTTGCTCGAAAGCAGACTGCTTGAATATTGCCTCAAAAGGTGTAATTTCTCCAATTTCTACTTGTTTTTGCAATTCTGCTTTGTGATTCTTGCTATTAATTTCTCCATTTTTCATATCCAATCCTACATCAGTCTCTTGTACTTTTACTGCAGATTGCTTGTTTGAGCTTATAGTATATTTAATATGCTCAGACACCTCTTGCAAGATGCTGTTCTCTGTTTTCATAGACACAATCTACAAGTATCAATAGCTTCTAGTAAAAAAGAATATCAGAACATAAACATGTATTCAATATGGCAATTACTTAATTATTTAAATACCTCCTGTAAGTCATTAGGAAGCTCATTATTAGAAATATCTCCGGTCGCGTTATCATTAACGCTTGAAGTACTCTTATTATTTGTTGTCTCTGCCATGGTGTGGAATCATATAACGTTTTGCTTTATGTAGATATTTACTTATGATAAGCCCAACATAACCACACAATAACGAAGATTTTTTTGTGTAAAAATGCGCATAAATTTGATGCCGATTATAAATTACGCAAAACGATCGATTCATCGAAATCACTATCATTCGATAAATAATACAAATTGAAGACCGTATTCTTGACGTGTATTCGAATACTAATGCAGGATTCACATCGCGTCCGATATCCGATGTACGATGTTCGATATCCAATAAAAGAATAGCTTTCCAATGGAGAATTGGATTCTATATTAGAAAGCTGTCCCCTATTGGATATCGGACGTCGTACGTCGGACATCGGACGTCGTGTGAATCCTACATAATATGCTTTTCTGATCTAGGCAGCGATCATAGGCCGATATTCATAGTCCGATCTTATATTTAAAATCATCTTATAGCGAATTCGGTTGCTTGCACTAGTGTGCACTGAGTGCGCACTAAGGCTTGTTCATAGTATGTTATTATATTTAAAAATTGTCTTAAATAATTTTCAAATAAATTCTCAAATATTTTTAACCATAATATGATATGTATAACATCCGTACGAATCATTTTATTAGTTAAAATGTTTTTAAATATGTATTTAAGACACGATCTTAAATATAAGAATGTACTGTAAACAAGCCTTAATGCGCACTCAGTGCGCACTAGTGCAAGCTACCGAATTCGCTATTAACTACTGTCTTAAGATGTCATGAACCAATCACAGAATCGTATTCGCATCTTAAGACATTACTTAAGACGATCTTGAAATAAGATTCGATTATGAATACCGGCCATAATATGCTTTTCTTAATCTAGGCAGCGATCATGTAACTTTTCCCCTAGGGCGGAAACGTGAAAAGTGAAAAGTTTCACGTGAACTTGTGATCACTAAATTCGGCGAAGCGTAGAAACGTGAAACTTTTTACGTGAACTTCATGAAATGTGCTGGCGGAAAAGTGAAAATTTAGTGACATGATGAATACGGAATATATTATGCTACTGCTGCGATGAGATACAGGAAACATAACAATCCTAAGGTTATAGCAATGTTTTTAAGGTTATATGTTCTACAGCCGATGGATACAGCTGATTTGTCCGATATTGAAATCATATAGGCTACGTTCCGAAATTCACTGCCAGTACTGAAATTCTATAGTATACGTGACATGAACTATAGATTTTCAGTACTGGCAGTGAATTTCGGAACTCAGCCATAGGAACCATGTTTAATGATTTGTACTTTTCACGCATAGAGTTACTTGATTGTGTGAACAATGAAAAAGTTCACGTAAAATCGATAAAGCGAAAAGTGAAAAATTCCGCTCGAAGTTACATGATCGCTGCCCTAATAGCATGTTCGACTGGCTCTGGGTTAACCCACTCTGGGGTGCGTTCAGGGGGTCGATTGTGTATCTCAAAACAGAGTGAAAATGATAAAAGTGAGCAAACTAGAATATTTGTAACTTCATTGGTCAATGCCTAGTGAATTTGTTCACTTTTGTAATTTTCACTCCGTTTCGAGATACACAATCGACCCCCAGATTCCCTACCTCAGTGCATTTTGTTACTAGAAACACTATAGTATATGTTACATATACTATAGCACTTTTTGTATTAGAGTGCACCCGGGTAAGGAATCTGGGGCCTTATTCTCGAAAAATATCGCATACGATATTTCGATAAAAAGTTATAGTTACGTCACATGAACTATAGCTTTTTATTGAAATATCGTATGCGATATTTTTCAAGAATACAGCTCCTGAACGCAGCTCTGAGTTATTCAGCCTATGTTTATTGGTCGAACAAGTACTTATAAGCTTTATGATTGGTTAGTAGAGACTTATGATGTCATTAATCACTCTCGGAGCGATTAACCCAGGGCCAGTCGAATACGCTATGAACAACCTTAAGTCTGTTCTTTTCAACTGCACTGTTGCATTGGTGCAATAAGTTATTGAAAGATTACGGATAGGAGCGCCAGCAGCCGGGAACGGTAGCGCCCTTCGACCATCGATTACGCGAGCAACCGATATCGATAGTAGAGTGGAGAGTGCGCGCAAGTTCGAGAGCACAAAGGGCGCAGGATCGGAAACGAGACCGATCGGGAAACATCGAGAAGCTTTTAGAAGATCCGGAAGAAAAAGCTAAAAAGCGATTCGAGACGAGAGAAGACACTCTCACGAGCGCGGGGAAATCGAGAAGTCGATTGAGGGAGTCGTCGAAAAGTCGAATAAGAGTCGGAAGAGTCGTTAGATAATTGGCGGTATTTCGGTACGAAATCGTAGTGTATGTCGCGAGAAACGCTTTGTATAATTGCAGAACATAATAAATGTTTGGTGATTTGTCCAGAGACATTGGGATTCTCTCTTTATTAATATTCCCTGAAAGTCCTTAGTCCGACAGTTCGAACCGTTGAAGGTCGTCGGTCGGTCGGTCGACGGTTAGGAATATTTACAACAAGAGAGGAAATCGGGTAAAAATTTTAACAAAGAGAATTAGTGGTAGATAAAACTAAGGAATTTTTCTTACATTATGGAGGATTCATACCGCGTCCGATGTTCGATGTACGACGTCCAATATCCAATAGGAGAACAGCTTTCTAATAGAGAATTCAATTTTCCATTGGAAAGCTGTTTTTTTATTGGATATCGAACGCCATACGTCGGACATCGGACGCGGTATGAATTCTCCATTAATTTATGCTAGAACCGTAAAAAATTGACCAGTCATAGTCGAATTATAGAAGAATAATCGACTGTGATTGGTCAATTTTTTACGGTTTCGGCATAAGTTAACGGATTACGGCCATCATAAACCAGCCTACGAATGTAATGAACGATAAAGATAGAATGGGTGCATTCAGCAGATAAAAGCGCTCAGTGAGCACTCGATGTTTATTAGTTTATTCTATTGATTCCCTATATTTAGACCAATTATGTTTACGAATCACTCAATAGTTGTACAACTGTTATGTCTGTTGAACGCGCCCAATGATACTTACAGCGTTCAAAAAGAACGCAGTCAGTGGCTGCGTTCAGGGGGTCGATTGTATCTCAAAACAGAGTGAAAATGACAAAAGTGAGCAAATTTACTAGAATATTTATAACTTCGTTGGTCAATGTCTAGTGAATTTGCTCACTTCTGTAATTTTCATTCCATTTCGAGATACACAGTCGACGCCCAGCAGAGAAAGCTGTTTTACAACTGTTGTAAAATTCGTGAATCTGATTGGTCACATGCTCTTGTATTCAACTCAAATTAAAAGCATACTCCAATCAGATTGACGAATTTTACAACAGTTGCAAAGCAGCTTTCTCTGCTGAACGCAGCCAATATCGGGTCTTATATTTAAGATCTTAAGCCCATTCTACAATTGCGTAAGCGTAGTCGTGAACGTAAGAGTCAACCAATCCGAATGTTTTATTCACTGATTGCTTTACTCTGATTGGTGTCGTAATCACTTGCAACCACTTACAACCACGTTCACGCAATTGTAGAATGGGGTTTAAGTTTCACTTCAAATATTCCGTAGCCAATGAAATGATCCGTGCATTATCTGAAGATGAGCTTAAAACGATCTTAAATATAAGATTCGACTACGAATACATTTCGACTTCGGTCTTGGCTTGCTTTATTCTAATTAGTCAAGATCCAAAATTCAATTCGCAATCCTCAGTATTCAATCTATACGAATATAACAGGTCGGACCTTTCATGTGAATCTTTCCTAACAATTGGCCAATCGCGCAGCTTGTGGCGCGAGAATCGATGTCACTGGCGAGCCGCAGAATTCGAAACAATGCCCTTAGGTCGTATACCATAAGAACGCGAGAGATCGCGGTGTCGAACGCTGGTGCTCCGAGTTCGCGTAGCGCAACGCGTTAATTGTTCCGCACGGACAATCGACCGTACGTATCCACGTACGAACGTTAGCAGCCGCGAAACGCGTCGTCGTCGTCGTCGTCGTCGCATCAAAAACCGCCGTCGGGTTCGTCGTTGTCATCGCGAGAACTCCATCAGCGCGAGCGACGCGTCCGACCGAGGCGAATGTATTGAGTCCCTGATCGAAAGTAAAAACAATTGTTGTGCGGCGCGTGTACGCACAAAGAGAGATGCGCGCGTATTGTCAGTTGTGTGCGTGCACACGCACATACATGTCGCGTTGCGATACGTCACGTCAGCGCAACTGCCATTTTTAATCCGCTTGTATCGTTTTTTTTTCCATTTTCCTCACTCGCTCTGCCTCCCAAGTTTTGCGCGTCATTTCGCATGGTAATAGCAGTCGTCGGCGTCATCGCTAATTTTCGCGGACAATCGTGACGGGAGACGCTCGCACGCCGTGAGAGAGACACGCATCGTCAAAACGCGACGATCCGACCGGAACGATCGAACCGTCGCGTCTCTTTATCTTCTCCCTCTTCTCCCTTTCTCCCCTCTCGCTCACCATACCTATATAACGCAACACACACATACAAACACTCCCTCATTCTCTTGCTATCTCTGTTTCTCGCTTACGACAGCGACAGACGATCGTGACGATACTCCCGCATACATATGATGCTCTGTCTTAAGACGCGATTATAATTGCCGCCTGGGTATGTACTCGCACAGGCTTTTCATGTTAGACCTAAGACTCGTTAATATCCGTGCGAAATCAAGGACTGCATGTTAGAAAGGGACTCGGTGCTTTCGCGTCGGTCATCGTTCCTTCGCGAACGTGAACTCGCCGCCGCCGCCGCCTGCCGCTGTTACCATTCGTGACGCTGCTCGGCAGGCTATCGTCTCCGGACAACGCGATGTTTTGCTGTACGAGAGCAGAGGTATTCCATACTCGGTTAACGATATTTGTCGGTAATCTTGGGAAATCGAAAGCTGTAGTGTCTCGTTAGCTCGTCACTTCGCTAACATCACATGATGGTTTTTGAGATCCGACGCCGATAAATATTCGTTAACGCAGCACGGAATACCGCAGCATGCTGCGTTAGCGATACTCGTCGGTTTCTATCTCTTGAGAAAAAAAAGCTTGCTGTAGATAGCGACAGCACACTGTCTTCATGACTTTGAACCGACAAAGAACGCTGTGCATGATGGATCGCGGCTTTATACTGCTCGGCAAAAATATTCGGATGTGTTCTTATATACATAAAATACAATAATGAAGACGTAGGCAGGGGAAGGTATAATGACATCCCTAAACTCTTTGGAATCGTTTATAATGTGGTCGCACTTTTGTTTCAAAGCACTAGTCTGTGAATTGATTATTGTCTATTTCCCTTGCATATACTCAAAAAAATGAGTTTCATGAATGAATTCAATCAGACTTAATTTCTCACGAGTATACGCCAAGAAAATGAATGACATGATCAATTCGCAGACTAACGCTATGATTTCAAAACGTAACTGCGACCGGATTGTAAACGATCTCTTTGACTTTCGATATGCACCTTGCAACTTTATTATTGTACGTGTTTGCTTGATCTGGCTTCCGGATTGACGTCACGTCCTTCGTGAATTTGTTTTTGGCGTTTCGTGAACATCCTGGTTCGCTTCGTCAGGGGATTTCAGTAAAGGAACGATCTATTTCTTCAGTTTTTAAGTAGTGAACTGGACTCGCGGAACATCGGAAATAAATCCATGAAGGATAAGCCACGTAATCCTGAAGCCAGGCCAAACATTTCACCATACCTCGGAAATCTAAAAAAGTACCAAATTATACTTAGTCCTTAATAAATTAGTTTGACAATTTAACATCGTGATGCCGGGCTAAACCGATCGCTTACGACGTGTCCGAGGCTGACGACCATTTGCTCTGGACCACAATTTTGCTTACAGTATAGCAAGATTGTTGTCCGGAGTTTTTTCTCGCAACTGAATTTTAAGGCCCTTCACAACTTACCTTCAATTCGAAATTTAACTTGTTAGAAGCCTATCCAAACAAACTTGCATATAGTTGCATTATTCATATACATAAGGAAATCGATTAATCTAATATAAAATGTGTCTAATAAAGAGGCATCCTTTTGTTGCATAGATCACGATTAATCGATTTTCTCATGCAATGCAATATGTGATTATTCAGATTTGTTTGGAGAGAATTAAACTACGATTCAAGTAAGTTGTGGAACCAGGCCTGATACATTAGCAAGGAATAATATGATGCTTTGTTTTATATAGTCTTAATAAGCTGAGTCTTATATCTTGAACTGTGCAAGAGGAAGTAAACGACCGAAACAATGGAGTCGTCAGACAGGAAGAACGTTTATCTCACGAAAACTGGCGACAGTTCTTTAAACTCGGGAATGCGAGACACCATGATCGTTGGTCAAGCCAACATGCAACCAGGTACAGCCGCCGCAGACATACAGCTATCTATACAGCGCAAATCTTCAACGGACGTTCTAAAGAAGTTCTAAGGGCATTCATACATTCTAAGAACATTCCAGAACATTCTCTAAAGATTTTGTGCTGAGTATATATCGATTTTGTCTCGTATCGTAACGTTACTCGAATATCTTATCATGGTTCTGACAGCTACTTCCCTTCATTTCACATGTTTTCCCCTTTTTTATCTGGTTTTTTTTCAGAGTGTGGAGAGGGTGTGATGAAGCAGAATGTATCCAGCGTCTCGTCCAATCAGGCAAAGTGGTCAAATACGCAGAGTAAGAATTTCATCATCGGCACGGTGCCTGTGAAGAACGAGGTGCGATTGTTGAAGCTAGTGCGATAAATAGTTTGAGAGGAAAGATTTAAGACTTACAGATATTCATTATACTGAGCAGAGTTGCGAGTAATGAACTGCCTTTTTAATTAATCATCGTGTTGACGATTAATATGAAACAATTTAATTGGAGACCGTTTAATTGACAATTGATTTCAAGAAATTCAGTTGGAGACCGTTCGACTGACGATTCATTTCAACGAATTCAATTAAAGACCGTACTATTGACGACTGATTAATTGATATGAGAAGCGAGTTAAAAATTCTTCAGTTGATAATTGAGTTCAGTAAATTTAATTAAAATCCGTTTAACTGACGATTGATACAAATTCAATTGACTTCAAAGATTTTTCAGTGACGATTGATATAACCAGTGTCCTCTTCATCGCAGATCCTGTTTAGCGTTTTTTATTCATCAGTATTTTCCACGATGCCATGATGCTTCAAGTATAAATATTATCTATAAAAGTAATTGTAATCTAAAGTAATTGAATGCTCATCGATTGAATTAATTGAATTATGAGCCGTCAATTAAATGATCTTTGATTAAATTCGCCAAATTCAATCATCAATTAAATGATTTTTAATTCGATTTGTTAAGTTTGATTATTAATTGAATGATCTATGATTCGTTTGTGCCAATTATTAATTGAACAGAAGTTTAATTGAATTTGTCAAGATCAATCGTCAACTAAACATTCTTCGATTGATTTTGTTCGAATCAATTGTCCATTAAATTTGAACTGTGTTATCAAAGCCTAAAAACATTTGTAACTCTGAAAGGATTCATTTTTCGACTTATGTTTACTAAACATTTTTTACTCAGTATCGTGAGTATTATCTACACTATGGCTGCGTTCCTTTTGAGCGTTCACGCGTTTTAAGTGCTTAGAAGTGTCACTCTATCTTTCTTCCGTATCTGATGAGCGATAAAGATAAAATGACGCTTACAGCGCGTGAGCACCCGAAAGGAACGCAGCCTATAAGTATTGAATTCTTTTTTTTTTAACATCCTATATGCGACACTTGAATCATTTTTAAACGAAATCTCTCAACGCTTATAACTAATAACAACGTACTTTGCAGATTGTGCATGTGGAAGATGGTGCTCATTGTAATAACAGAAAAATGTACTATTATGATAGACATTACACTGGTCATGAAGAGCCAGAGAGGCCGACGCGCAGAGGAACAAAGAGATACAGGGATAAGGATGCACCGAAACGGGCGCTGTACGTAGACATCTAAAAGAGTTTTCAGATTTTCAATTAGACTCAAATATAATTTTTCAAACTTTCGAGAAAATCGTGCTTTCTGCACGAACATAGTCGAAGTCGTTATCTCAGTATAGAAGCGCTACAAAAGGAAATCGACCAAAGAATGAAAGACCTACTGGAAAGTCTTGAAACTCTTTTAGATCTCTGCGTACACACACATGTCGAAAATGAAATTTTACTTTGGAAATATATTTTTGTACAAATGCATTGCCTTAGGTCCGCATTTTTCTACTTCTGTCAAGAGCTGCGTGGCAAGATGAGAGAATTGCACCCTGAGATGGGAGTAGGCGAAATCGCGAAGGAATTAGGAAAATTGTGGATGAGTACGGATCTGCAGACAAAATCCAAGTACATGGCTATCGCGGAGGAAGATAGAGCCCGATACGAAAGAGTACGTTGCTCATGTTACAATATCGATACGTATATATAAATATATATAAATTCTCGATATCGAACATCATTTTGACGATTTTTAATGTGCAGGAAATAATCGCTTATAATAAGAGAGTGAAAAATTACGACCCCGAGGAAGTTGGGACTGTATAAGTGAATAGAGAAATATTCACACGAGACGGTTGAAAAGAAGAAAGAGAAAAGGAGGAAAGACTACTTATTCTCTCATTCGAGCACTGTCACTGGCTATTAGAGAGTGCGCGATAATTTTACTAACCTAGTATTACTATCGATCGTTGTATATATTATGTACACTGTTGAAAAAGGAACAGAAAAATTCTGTTTCAAAAAGAACAGAAAAATTCATTCTTTTAACTTGCAAAAATTCGATTCATATTTACTCGTAGCGTGACAAATAGGCGAGACAGATTCGGCGAGAAAGACGAGTTCCATTTTATAACGAATTCCTTTACCATGCAAGGGCTATTACTACTATACATGACTAACGTGTGCTAATATATAAATATACATATACATATTATATATACAAAGGATGCTTTCTAGGATATATCGATTTAACTGTGCCAGAATGTTTTACGATTAAAATATAGGAGGAAAGAATGTTATATAAAATAGAATGCTATTCTATTTTGTATTTCTGTTATAACTTTTTAATAAAGCACTTTTATAATTGCCTCATGTATTTTTAACCGTAGAATACGTTGGCACAGTTTAACTGATAGAACCTGTGGTATTCTGTATACATTTATCGACAAAATCTAATATGAGATATATATAATAAATCCTAGCGGTAGTGTATGGTAAATAATTCAAATAACAATAGCTATGCTGCTGTTCTACATTAATATTGAATAGCAATGTAATTGTAATCGATGCTAGTAATGTTTGAGAGTATATTGGTGACGAAAAAATTGCATAGAGCACTGCATCGCGTTCATAGCATTAACGGTAGAACGCTTCGCCGACATGTAATAAGTTAATGGATAAGAGAGCTTAATCAGAAGGAAAGGCAATAAGGAGACGTGCGAGGCGATGTGATTTGGCTTAATCTCTTTTTTTCCTCGCAAGGTAATTCTATTATACGACATTAATATACCCGTATAATTTCGTTGAGTTCATATTTTGATATCACATGCACGTTCCAATGATCCCTGTGCTTACTCTTGCGAGTTAATAAAATGCAATGTTCAATACAAGACCTCCTGTTTCATGCTTTGTCTAAAACGCATTGAACTCACCAAAGTCCTTAATACGACAAAACCACGTACGAGTCATACAAATTTCTCGCGACAAGAGCATTAGAAATCATTCTTGCTTCTCGCAGTAACGTTCGTTCTTACATATACTAGTTACTTGGAAAATCTTATGAAATTTTAATAATAATTAAACAATATAATATGAATTTCAGACGCTTGATCGACAACAAAAGCTAATTAGTAACAATAAAATAATAAGTAACAACAATATATATCTTACTTTGATAACAAGAAAGAAAGACAGTATGTAGAAAAATGCATTACAATAAAAGTTGAACAGAGTGAACATTGTACAGAGCATTGTCTTGTCTGCTATAATCATACATATTTGTAAGATTTTACATATACATAATCGCGGGAAAACTATACTAAAACCCCGGTACAACAACGGTATATATGTATATATATATAAATATATACATATATGTATATATATATATATACATATATATTTATTTATATTCTATGTATTTCTTTCTTTTTCAATAAATATATACATACCAAAACGCAGTATTGACTTCATAGAAGCTTTATTTATTGATTGATTTATTTACTGTACACGCAAACCATTTTTTAAACGGAATTAAAATTACATGTTTCCAAATTGGTCTAAATTCATGTTTTATTACATAACTGTGTAATATACGCGCATAAAATAAGTGAAAATATAAATTGTGTACTATAGAGATGAAAGATATAATTTTCAAACTTTTATATATTCAAAGATTAATCTTTCAAGCTAATGAAAGTCACACAGAACGAGTTCTTTCTATGGGGAGATATAATAATGTCAATAAAATATCAAAATATATTATCCCTAGAAAGAATTATTTGCAACCATTATTCTACATAGCTCTCACTGGCTCTTCTCTGATTAGATATAATTTTCATTTTTCTTCTAATATAAATTTAAGATTTATCCACTCTAAAAAAAGACATGTAAGAGATTTAATTGTTGCCGCTTTTCCGCGATGCTGATTGGTTCTCTCGCTTAGCTCACTTCATGTGGGCTGCGACTTGCTTCGTGTCGTTTGCACCTGTCAAATTATCAGGCAAATAACTGTCATTGCGTTGGTTAGCTCATGAAAAAAGAATACAGAAGAGATATAAATTATAAGAATAGAAGCATAGAGAATAGAAGGGTAGAGGAAAAAGAAAGAGCAGACAAAGAGAGAAGCATATTATTTAGGTAAAAATATGGGTAAGAATAAGGTAATTTAAAAGATCATTGTAATGATAAAGATGCTAAATAGCGCGCGCGTCTGTAATGTTCTAGTTATTTAAAAATATGGATTTAGAACGATGTAAAAATTAACTTCTTAATATCAAGTAATTATCTGTACATTATAAATTCGGATTAGAAATAAATCTACATATATAGAAAAGAACAGGTAAAAGAATAATAACCGTTTTTGTAATGTTAAAATATACACATATATATGTATACATACATATGTATACATGTACAATTTTTTATGGAATATACATATATATATATACATCATACTTAAATATGTATCATATATTATGATACTAATATATTATGTACATATGTAGCATTATATATAGCATTTCTCTTATAAAGCTATGTATTAAGTGAATAAAAATGGATATGGATTATTACATAATTTATATGAATAATATTATGATAGAGAAACTCTGTTGGCTGGTTACGTCGTGTCACTACTACTCAAACCGTTCTTCTGATCAAGTTTGTTTGCATTGGTCTTGACGGTATATATGAAAAAAGTCAGGGCTTCCTTCTCCACCACTGGGATGGTCTTAAAATGCTTCATAAGAGTCTGCAACAAAAGATATATAAGACTGTTATAGACGAGTTTATTTGGAATTACATTGTCAAAAACGAGAATTTTTCATAGAAAATATGTAGTAAAAGAAAGATGGTATTTATATATTTAAATTTTGATTACACTCATATATATTCAAAATATTTAAAGTTATATATATCTGCTTGTAACTTTGCAGCATACTCAGATAATTTGCATGTCAGGTAATTTTTTATTAATATAAAGTAACTGTAAAGAGCAACTATACTTACATCTGCCAATTGAGCCTTATTGAGTCCTGGACGTGTGGAAACTTTATAGTGCCTTTTGTACCGCCTCAGAGTACCAACTTGCAGTTGAAAAAGATCAACTTCTGGAAGATCATTATCCGTCTCACCAGAATCCTCTTCAGAATCCTTGCGCCTGCGCTGCTGCTGCTGTTTGGTCCTTGCACACTGGATCACTTGCTTATGGTAGTCACAGATATATATGTGACGTGCCTAAATATAACATACATATGATATTTTTATATTATGAACATTCTCTCAGATAAAACATACCTGTTGGGGTTAATTTCTTCGGTTTCCAAAATTCCAAATTTTGTGAACATTTCAAAACCGAGAAATCTTCCATTTAATGGGAAATGTTCTTTAATGAAGAACAACTTAATCAATTGATGTAGTTCAAATTATGTATTATGTAGATGGGTGATATAAATTTATCCTCCTTCTCAGTTCCTGGTTTCAATAACCGAGTAACATACCTGTCATTCGAATAATCTGGTTTAATAGCCAATTTGAATGATATACCAATTGTGATAGAAAGTACGCGGACGAGTGGCATCTTTGGTCTACCGACAAAAAAAAATATAAATATGTATACGGGAGTAGGGAAACTTTATACATCAAACTGTTTTTTCGAATATATTTTCATAAGTGTACTTAGTTTTCTTCTTAGCGTAGTACCTGTCTTCGAAAATAAATATCATGTATTGGGTACATGGTGCATATGCGCAACGTGCGTGACTAACCATGTGATCGAGATTGAGCTTGAGTCGCCGTTGTGTGACGGTCTTTTGGATACGCTTGCTGTACGACGCGTTCCCAGCCGGGCGGGAGCATCGCTCGCCCTCGTCGACGAGACAACAGATCTGATCAGCCGCTCCTCTAGAGTCTTCTTCGCCGGTGCTGAATCCGTTCATTCTACTTCGTTGATAATGTTGCTAATGCTGTTGCCGACTACCTCGCTGCGCGTCCGTAGGTACCGTCGACGATGATGATGCTGCTGTTTCTCTTTCTCTTTCTTAGTTTATCTTCTTAGTTATCGAGTATCCGAACATTCTCTTCAATTTTCAATTTCAAGAAATAATATTGGCGTTCGTATCAAAAGTCAATCGGCCAGCAACCGGTCACGTTACGACACTGACAAAACGCTCGACGTCGCTCGCCGTCACACATAATTCCGCCCCGCGTTCGACCGACCTGCAGTCACTCGCGGCAGGAGATGCCGCCGCGTCGTCGATGCACGTTCGCTCGCTTTACCGGCCGACGTGCGCTTCTTCGTAGGGATGCTCCGAGAATCGACACTTAATGGGACGCCACGAGGCACACCGCGGGGCTGGAATTAGAATTCGCAACCAGTCCCTTCGTGCCTCGCTTCGACGAGCACTCGTACGACTGTCGCAAGCGAACAATGTAGAGTGTAGCGAGCTGGGTCTACGCCGTTGATGATTGTTCGTCGAGCTACACCGGATTTTCGCCATATACTGATACTCGATATGCAATAATCGTTCACCGTGACACACAAACGTTGCCGGCCGCACTATTCTCGTACAATATCACATGTAAAAACAGTACGAAGCACATAAGAATCGCGCGGTCCTCGTGAACGAGACGTGTCACGATTGACGATCCATGCGAGCCCATGTACGAATGATGTTTCGGCCAAACAGAGCCCCCGATTCTCTTCACGCCGGGAATGTGTCATAAACGTTACGTACAAGTAGATACGTATCCCAGTGCTTTGGGGCGGACAAAGCGAAACATTAGAGCTACTTCGCTCGAACATCAATTTTTCTAGGGATTATAGATGTCAGGATTGGGGCTGGATGGCGCCAGTGTCCTTCCCGCGCACAGTTAGCGACACTGCGCGGGCTACCGCCGCGAGATTCTCGGTCAGGTGGCTCCATCTACTATAGAAATAGCACCTAACCTCAACGTTTCCGCGTACTCGACCTCAACGACAAGTTGTCTTGCGAAACGGCGCACGACACGCGGGGTCGGCCGATTGACGTGACGATCTTCGACGAGGCGACCGCGAAAAGCACCAACGCGTCCGCATTCGCCGTTGAAAGGCCGACTTCGCACTCACGCATTTTCCCGCCCTTTTGGCCAGCCGACATTTTATCTGGTGGGGGCGAAAAAGAAACGCACCAAAACATAAAAGGTCGGCGCTGATTGGCTTACTTTTTGCGGCTTATCTGAAATAAGCCAATGGTAATGGAGATTTTCCCCGTACGCTGTCCGTATGCCGTACGAGTAGCGTGGGGTCGCGATATTCGAAGCCGAGAGAATCCTTTTAGCCGTTGTGGATCCCGAATATTCAGGTAAGAAAAATCCAAAATATTTTCGTCATCGCGCGTTGACAGATCCGCCGGGTGCGTCGCGTGATCACCACCCGTTCTTCCGCGCCGCGTGACCCGCCCAACGCGAGCTCGTCCGCTGGCCGTGGCCTGCTACCGTGCTGCGTTCGCGTACGTATACCTTTTATTTCCGTGGAACCGTCACACGGCAGCAAATGGCTGCCCGGGTGGACGTGCCGTGTCGCATCGTGTCGTGTCGCGCGCCTACGCGTCTCTCGGTTGCGTCGCGAGTCGTAGTCTCGCACGACGGACAAGCGAACGACGTGTACGGCGAGAGCATCGCGACGCGGATACGCCGGAATCACGGTGAGCCTCGCGACAAGGCGGCCGCCACCGTCGCTCGCTCGCTCGCTCAACGACGTCAAGGTTGGTGCGCGCGTCCACGTCCCGCCCGCGTGTTTCTCGCCGTAGCTCCTACGTTCGACGCATCGCGACGACGAGGGGCGTCCAGGAGGTCGACGCACACGTCGACATCGTGCTCGTCGTCGTTGTCGACGTCAACGCCGTGGAGCGCGCGACACATCGGCGCTTGCGGTCGTCGTGCGCGTCACCACCGTGTCGATGGCGGGATATATCGGGACGCTCTCGCGAGTGCTTTTCCCGCCTCCTCCGTAGCTCGGATCCCCTCGGAAGCTGTCAAGAGCAAGTGAGCTAGCCAGCTAGCTACCTTGTTTCTCAAGATGTCGAGCGGAGCCGATGCTCGTTTCTCTCTCATACCATCTCTATCTCTCTTTCTCTCTCTCTCTCTCTCTCTCTCTCTCTCTCTCTCTCTCTCTCTCTTACGTTCTATTGCTTCGTGTCCTCCCCTCCTACGCCCAATGCTGGGATTATTTTTCTCGGTGACCATACACATGCTCATTATTGCCCAGCGAAATAGATCGCGATGATCGTGAGTGCGCGAGGTGTTGGCGGGAGCAGGGCGGAGGGCTGGGAGATAGACGGAAATCGAGAGATACGTAAAGAGAGAGAGAGAAAGAAAGAGTGAGTGAGTGAGAGAGAGGTGTTTACACGTAGCGTTCCTCCTTCTTCACCAATCTCGCACTCTCGGCAAGGCGTGAGCGCGCTCGCGGCAGAGGCGCCAAAAGCACTCGCGTCGTTTGGCTTGCTTGACGTTTTTATTCGCCAGTCCGTCGTCCGGCAGCCTCTCGCGCGTTCGGGTTATAGCATATTCGCGCGATACGTCATGCGAAAACGCGAGCGAGATCGATGGACGTCCCGGGGCTGACGAGCGGGCGCGCGTGCGACGTTTGCACGTCAAGAAATTGAATTTCCGCTTGCGATCTCGTGTAATTTTGCAATGAGGATTTCTGTTGACGCGATGGACACGCGAAAATCGTCTCCGCGGCCTCGCGACAATCGGCGCAAACTGCGTTTTTCCGTGTCCACGGCGTAGGCAAGAGGGAGATGCGCACGAAAAAGTAGCTCGGTCTTACGTATTTTTCTTGTTTTATAATTATTGCAGATTTATGTTTTTTCGCGAACACATGATGCTTATTATTTTTTCGTCAACGATCAAATTTTTGCTAAAATCCAACACCAAGACCAGACATTTTCCACATGCGCCACTCCGTAGATCTCGCTGAAATTATAATAGCTTCGATATTTGCAGTCGCGAAAATGGTCACGTATTGTGTTTCGAGATAATTGAATCGTTCGTTTTCATCAAAAAGAACTTGGTCCCAAAAATATTGAAAATAGATTTTTAATACACGTAGCATTTTTTTTACACACACAAAACACGCATTTGTATGCGAAAGTCATCGATATCGAAGCTTTGTTAACACGAGATCGCAATGGTACAATTGCCTAAGCGGTGTCAACTGTTTTTCTACAGTATTCAACTGTATTGCGTTAATCTTTTCTGCAACAAAAAAACCTCAATTAGTATCTCGCGTCTACTGCGATAAGAAAGGAAATATGTGGTTAACTTGATGTTTTCACATTCATGACTCGATATATTCATTTACATTCTCATTTACCTCTGTATTTACGATCACTATTCACGAACGGGATCTATTGCGTAGTCATTGAAACGCCATGCGCCTCTCATTCGGTTTCCGATTGGAATCTCGACAGTCCAACCGAGACACCCTATAGAAACGAGCGCGTTGTGCTTCGCGGTGTTTCAAGCCTGGCGAGCGTTAACGAAGCTTAAACTCGACTGTATATTCATCGACTAAGCTAGTAGTATAGTCTACGTAAAGTAAAACACACAGCCGCAAACATTTTTTTTATTCGATGCGCGCAACATCTCCTCTCGATCGATTATCCGCAAAAGCACTCGGACGGAACAAATCGTCCTCTCCCTTCTCGGACCCCCTTCCCCCCTGCCCTATCCTCGTTCGTTTCGGATAATCGGCTTTATATGTACGTGCTAAGAATTATAAGCTAGAGTTACGAGTTATTTAAGAGTTACATCATTCTCGCGCGTAAACGCCCGCGCTCGGTTTTTCGGCGACTCGCTCCGAAATCTTAAATTTAAAATGCAGAAATTTTAAAGCCAAGTCTACACACCGTTTCGTCGGCAACTTATATAAAATAGTGTATGCGCGCAAAAAGGCGAGGGGACCGCAATAAATGTCGCTATGAGATATGCCCTAGCGTGATGAAAAGACAGTAAGAAAGAAAACGAGACGAATAGAATAAGTCGTAGAGAGGACGAGATGCAGGCACAGAATGAGAGCCAGAGAAAGAGAGAAATATCAATGCGCGTTAATTAGACGAAGAGCGCGAGAGGAAGCGATATGTGACTCGAATAGTATCAAAGTTCTCGTTTCCGAAATGATTTCTCCTCACACGTGTGGTGGCATTTTTTTTTTTTCTTTTTTATGTCAACTGGTCAAAAGTGTGTACGCCGACCGAGCACGCGCGCACGCGAGACAATTGTACCGCCACATGGCACGACGATTCGAGGCCCTCGGCAGGCAGATGGTACGATCCGAAGGGTTCCCGCCATTGTTTCTGTCCCGCTGGCTGCTCGCGAGCGTATTGTAATAGATAAAGAATTACGATACACATTTCGAGAAAGCGACGTATGCGCGACGCGGGCATCGCGCGCACGTCGAAACGTGGGAATCGAACGCGAGTCTCGGGGCGCCCCCTCCTTACCTCGCTAACTAACGACTCGACGATATTGACTCTTCGGAATTCTAACGGTAAAACTCTAAAAACGAGCTTCTTCTTTCGCGTTTTATCACGATCCGCCGCGGGATCGAGGTGAAAGTTAGTCTTACAACTTATCCTCTCGTCGTCTGAAAGGCGCGCGCGACCCGAAAAATTGAGATTTTTACTGCGCGTCTCGCGCGCGCGCGCGGCCAGCAGGCACCCGTCAGATGGTTTCCGGTCGAACTCGATCCTTTGAATCGAGTTGAACGCACACATTTCGGTGTTTCGTCGTAATGTTAGCCGCGTTTTTTTCCTTTTTTTATTATTTTTTTTTCGACCGCGATGTACAGGTACATTCTCGAGCGGAATCGGCGGTCGGGATCCGGTTCGGCTAACGTCGTCGTCGTCGTCGTCGTCGTCGTCGTCGTCGTCGTCGTCGGGCCGTACCAACATGATCGGGTAACTCGAATTCCATCCTCACGAGTTCCACATGTAGCTCTTTCTCTTTCTCGCTATCTCCTCTGCCTTGTTCTCTTCGGCGCGTTTGACGTTTTCTTCCTCGGCTGCTGGAGCGCGCGGTGTCTTCTTCCGGTTTTCTTCCGCTTCTACGTTCGGTTTCGTTCCGTTGGGGTTTTCTCGACCCCTCGAGTCGTTCGCCACTTTCGTACGTTCGTTAGGTTGCCAATGCTGGGCCCTGGGAATGCGCGGTGGCTTTGTCTCTTCTCGTCTTTCTCTCGCTCCTACCCTTCTCTCTCTCTCTCTCTCTCTCTCTCTCTTCCCTCGCCCGTATAAATCCCCCTCTGCCGCTGCTCTCTCTTCACCCCCTATCCCTCCTCGCCAATGCCGCTGCCTCTATCTACCTCTGTCTCCCTCGCTTTCCCCCGTCTCTCTCGCTCGCGCGTCTTATTGACCCGGACCCGGTTCTCTTCTCCTCTCTCTTCGATTCGCGCGCCGGGTTATACCACCGACTCACACCCGCCGCCTCACGACGGCAAGGGTTGCCCGAGGGGGCGGAAGCAAGGGGGGCGCGGGATATAGAAGTGAACGCGGGGAGCGTCGAGGGGACAGGGGAGGACAGGTCCGACGCACAGGTCCCGCGATATACATTTTCATTTCATCTTCCTGGCGCGCTATCAGAGATAGAGACAGAGGAAGAGAGAGAGAAAGAGAAAAAAGAGCACCGCGTTCCCGGGGAGGGGTCAGGAAAAATTTTCGGCCATTCCCCCCAAGGAGGAGTGCCTCCGGATCGCCGCTCATCTCCGTCCGGTTGCGCGAATCGCGCGAGTCGGAATTCGCGACTTCGCGCGAGAGAAGGAGCGCGACGAAGACGAGGATGTGTCGCGTGTGCGCGCGTCGCATTCTTGCGACTATCATCGCGCGACTGTGTTGCATCGGTTAAGAGATAACAAGGAGTATAAGAGGGAAGGAATGAATAATGCAGTTTGTCAAACAGCAAATCAAATCTTGCGATCCTAAGTTGTAACGCGTATAACTAGGGAGGTATTTCGCGTTCCCTATCGAGTAATAATAAACTTAACATTGTAGAGGAAGTTTACAAAAAGCATCTCAATATGGCGCGCGGCACCTTGCGTACGCGCCAAAGCTGTGGTCTACGTGAATCCGGTCTCGATCCTTTCTGGTTGCGTGAATCGGAGTCTCGCGAGAGTTCGATCCTCCGGCATACATTCCACAAAAACCGAAAAATTTCGGTAGACTCCTGAAGTCTCTTCCGTATCGACCGACGAGGAGGAGCGGCCTGTCGCCGGTCGGTAAAGACAGACGATGCGTGTCCTCGTCCTCGTCCTCGTCTTCGCGCGTACGTACACGTACATACGTATGAGCGGGAAAAAGGGCGCGTGCGGCGGGCGAAAAGCAGGAAGCGTCTCCCCGATGTGGGGCAAATTCCAGCGAGCTAGCGAGCTAGCGAGTGCGTACCGGTGTAACGAAACTAAGAAGGGTAAAAAAAAGAGAAGAGAGAGAGAGAGAGAAAGAGGAGTCAACGGAAGAAAGAGCGCGCGCGATGACGACGACGAGGAGTCAGCCAGTCGGCCGCGGTAGATGTGTCCTTCTTTCTCTTTCTCTTTCCGCGTGCCTCTCTTTCTCTGCCTAAAAGTTGACCTCGAGTTTCAAGGGTAGAGAAGGGTTCGCAGTCGTTCGTCCTCCCTCTACTCCTCTCCCTGCACTCACGCCTTCTCTTTCCCTTTTTCTCTTTCTCTCTCTGTCTCTCGATCTCTCCTTCCCTCTCTATCTTATTGGAGAGGCTACGGAGAGCCGCGCGCGCGGCTCTCGAATTCTCTACGAACGTAGAGAGAACGGAATGGAAGAGAGAGAGAGCGAGAGAGAGAGAAAGAGAAAGCGACGTTGCCTGTGGTTCGACGTCGGTAGACTCCCGCCATCCCTACCGGCGGCGCGGTGCGATTCGATTGGCCGATGCGCTTAGGTTCTCCTTTGTGAGCGGGCGGGTGAAAGCGTGCTTGGCAACGTCGCCGAGAGTTTGCCGGCGTCCGTCCGCTGGAAGGAAGGTTGAACTGGTGAACAAGTGTGAGAGCGAGTAAGATAGAGAGGGGAAAGAAAGACAGAGACGGCGAAGCGAAGCGGCGAACGAGACACCCGGTAGAGAAGGAGAGTGGAAGAGAGGCATGCGCGGGGGGAACTGCGAGGAAGAGCGAAAGAGATAGATCGTACAAGCGCGTCCAGGCGGCTCGTTCTCGCCAGGTTCGCCCTCTGTGTGTGCGCGACGTCGCGTGTTAGAGTCCGCGGTGGCGAGAGAGAAGCGAGTCTCGTGCGCGCGTATGCTTCTCTCCGTGTGAAAAAGCTATTACGCGTTGTCCCACTACTACTACACTACTACCAATACTACTACTACTACTACTACTACCACCATTACACTCGCTGCTGTTGCTGATACTACTACTACTGGTACTACCATTGGTACCATCGTCATCGTCAGCGGCGTGCTCGTCGAATACCGGCTACGTTGCGTCGTGTCGCGTCGCCTCGCGCCAAGTCAAAGCGTGCGGAACTGAATCGAGCGAGCCGTGTGCCGCCGTGTATAACGCGCGCGCGACGAAGAGCTGCGATCAGCGAACGCGCGCGTGGTGCGTCGTTTCGCGTCGCGCTTAAGCGCCGCATTATTCGGAGGAGTCGCGTGTAAGCGAAACGCAAGGAAGGAAAAATATTTTAAGCGGAAGTAGAGACCGAGAACACGTTTACGCCGTTGTCGCCGGAGGACTGTTGTTGTTGCTGTTTCTTCGATATCGTACCAAGGACACGGCGTTAAGAGCCTTCGTATCCTTCGTCGACGCCGTTGCTGCTGGAAGGAAGGAACCACCGTGTCGTTGGCAGTCGAACGAGCGATTCTCGGCCGCGGGACAGTAGAGTGAGACGCCAGGAGAAGACAGGGAAAAAGAGAGACGAAGAGAAATAGAGAGAGAGAGAGAACGATTTCGAAAAAGAAGGCGAGAGAGAAAGACGACGAGGGGAGACGCGAAGCGGCGTTCGACGTCGTTGCTCCACGTCGATGGTGGGGAGACAGAGGGAAAAAGAAAGAGCTAGAGGGGGAGAGAGAGCGCCCTCCTCTACTACCCACCCGTCCACCCCCCGCCGCCTCCTCTGCCCGCCGCCGTACCTACTCACGGAGCTAACGAACGGTCGAGCGTAGCGTCGAGTAGACCGCATCCCAAGTATAACGTACGTATATTATTCCACACGAGAATAACGCGCGCGAACACGTTTGGATCTGCTAGATCTAGATGTTATCTTGTGCGTTTATCGCGCAACGCAGAAGAGAGTAAGAAACGTGAAAGAAGTACGAGCAAGAAGTACGGCCGAGAGCAGGCCGAGTGATCGGTGTTTGTAGTGGTGTACCACCATCGAGCCGGCCGAAAACGCGGCCTGGACGCGACGTGTGCCGCCGCCGCCGCCGTCGTCGTCGTGTGTGACAGTGTGAGCGTGTGAACGCGTGCGTACGGTGCGTGCATGCGGTGCGTACGTACGTATGTACGTACGTACGGTGTATGTCTCTCCTATCTCACCGATACCTAAGCATCGGTACCAGCGAGTTCCTCCCCGAGTTTGAATTTACCGAGACGGACTTTGCGTGTGTACGTGCGTACATACGTGAGTGAGTACGTGCGTGCGTGCGTGTGCCGGGTGTACTTCTTTCTCCCTCGCACAAAAGCGACAGAGAGAGAGGAGAGAGAGAGAGAGAGAGAGAGAGAGAGAGCGAGAGAGAAAGAGAGAGAGAGAGAGAGAGAGAGAAAGAACGAAAGAGAAAAAGAAAGAGAGTCGTCGTTGGTGTGTGTGCGTGTGCACTGTGCGTGCGCGCGGGATGTTACCGAGTCGGTGAGCGCGCGCGGGTGCGTGTGAGTACCTTAGGGAGAAAGAGAGGAACAGAAGAGGGAGAGAGAGAGAGAGAGAGAGAGAGAAAGAGAGAGACGGCAAGAAAGTTAGAGAGGGAGAGAGCGAGAGAAAGAGAACGTTAGCGCGTGCATGTGTGCGCGCGCGCGCGATCGAGCAATTCCTCCGTGCATCCTTCTTCTTTCCCTCGCTGGTATTACCGGCGAGTAAAAAAAGACAAGAAGCTGAGGTGACAAACGGACGTACTCGCGTGTACGACATGTCGGAGCATCACCGCGTAGCTGCCGGTGGCTGGGGCACAGCGAGCCCGGCGAACCGAGAGGATGCCAGCGGCGGTGCCGCCTGGTGGCCCTCGGGTCTCAACACCGTCCCGACCGATCAACAACAGCAACAGCAGCAGCAACAACAACAACAAAATCTACATCAGCACCTGATGAACCAGCAACAACAACAGCAACTCGCTCAGCAGCAACAGCAACCGCAGCACCATCCGGACATCGTCCGAAGTACCGCTGCCGCCGCCGCTAGCCAGCAGCTCTTCTCCTACAAAATGGCCTCCAGCTTCCAGAACCCGGCCACCACCGGCACGCAGTCGAGTCCGGTGTCGACGTCCACGCCGGTTTCCGCGCAATGCATGAGGGGCAGTTACGATTACAGGCTCGGCACGGGTCCTGGACAAGGCGGCGGTGGCGGCGGCGGTGGAGGTGGTGGCGGTGGCGGTGCTGGCGGCGGTGGCGTGCCTGCCGGCACACCTTCCGCACCGCCGCCCGGCGTGCAGTGGTGGTATTCAGGTGGAGTTATGGACGCCGCCGGACAGAACAACCTGCACCAGCAGTTGCAGGGTCAGCAACAGCAACAACAGCAGCAACAGCAGCAGCAACACCTCTCACCCATTACCACGCAAACGTCCACGCCCCCCGTAATGTCCCCGGTATGTTGCGAAGAGTATTACCATCCCCCCGATGAGGGAAGAAGAGCGGTTTTCTTTCTTGAGCGGCTTCTTTTTCACTCGCGAGGTTCATCCGCGTTCTTTACTTCTTTTGCATTTGCCGAAGCATTGCATGGCCTCTGTGTACTATTCCGGTGTTCGCGAGTAACAAACTTGAAATAATCACGTGTAATGTAGATACACACTCAACTATACACTACATTAGTATGGTAACCTACGTTATTATACTAGTACATATATACTTAGGAGGAAAGAAAAAAAGAAGTAATTTTATGAAAATATAAAAAGTGTAGCTAAAGTGTAGCTAAAGAGAATAATCCTGTAGGGGTGATCTCAGGCGATGTCATTCAACTGTCAACCGGTCCGCTGTCGAGTCTTACACATGAAATTAAGCAGCAGCAAAGTTTGATCAGTGACAAATTTGTTAGTTTTATGTGAAACTATATTTATCGCGAACGTTGATAACGGTTGATTCGAGCTCGGTGAGAAACATTGGTTTTCATCGCATTTTTCTCCAACCTTGAATTGGAAGTACAGTCGAGAGTAATGAGAAAAGAAGACAGTACATCTAGATTTTCGTCTCGAATTTACGTCACGACCGGTCCATCTTTTATATTTTCCATCCATCTATCCAAACATCGCCCCTTCGATCGGAGCGGCCGTGTCCGGTAACGGGATGGCGTTTATACTCAACGCCTTTGTATCACATTGTAGATATACGTAGGCCGAAACGCGGCGACCTCGCTCCGCACCCTGCTCCCTTCTTGGCGGCCTTTCGGTCGCTTTCGCGCGCGCGGTGAGCGAGCGAGCGAGCGGGTAGGTAACGAGCGAAGAAGAGAGATATACCTGGTCCGACCAGGTGGCCACGCGGCACTTTTGACAACTTTTCCGAGACCGCCTCCACCGACGCAACGGGCAGCGTGTGAAAGGGACTGTTCCTTGTAGTTGCACTTCCTGCGCTTAAATTCTCCGGTACAGCTGGCCTTCTCACTTTGGCGTGAGCCAAAGGACAAGTACCTAATCTGTTAGGGACAACCTGTAAGCTTCCGGAAGCTTCCAGCTCGAGACATTGAATTTCTCACTCTCGGCAGACGATTGATCTATTTGTCGAAGCTTAAAGAAAAAAGCATTGAAAAATGTAGTGACGTTGCATACATGCCGGTGTAAAAATCCACGAGTGAAAAAAAAGCGATGAAAGTGTACAGGCTTGTGCTTCGAAGAGAGAAAGATGAAAGGTCGCGAGTGTTGGGGAGAATGTACAGCTGAAAAGAACAGCGAACCTCGTGGTTCTCTTTCTTCGCTGATAACGGTGGCTGGTCCGTCGCTCTGCTCGTCGTTTCTTCTACCCTGTGTCGCTGCCGTGCTTTTCTGTTTCGCTAATTTGTCGAATTCTTCGCAGGCGCCGGAAATCGCGGATTAAACGTCACGACTCTCCATCGATGAACTGGTGTTATCGGCGACCTTGACTAGGCTCGTATCTACAATCATTCGAGCATGAACTAGACAAAAATTAATAATTAAATAATATTATCAGTGATGTACATGTAGCTTAATTCCTAAAGATCTCGTCGGGCTTCCAGAAAAGTATTCTTATCCAATAACCAACTAATGTATTCGATAAATTCGTATGATAAATGAAATATTAGTCTGTTTGTAATAACGTTAACACTAGAATTGCCAACGTGCTATTTTCGTCCTGTGTTGAGGCTTAGAGTTGCCAGTCGCTCCTTCGGACCTGGTCAAGGAGACCTGAATATTTCTGACTTTTCATTAAAATATACAGTATATGTTAACATAATTAATATAAAATATCAATATATATGTAAAATTTTGTATACGATGCGAAATACCGGCTGCGGTCCTGTCGCAGCCGGTTTTCGCGCGTTTCATCGTGGTCGCCCGCCTTCCTGACTCGCTCGCTCGCGCGCGCGACTCTCGCCCCGCGTCTGTCCGTCCGTCCGTTCGTCCGTACGTCCGCCGTCCGCTATTGATTCCGGGTTTCGTGCGGCCTTCTTCGTAAGTGCGTTCGCGTTCGGCGAGTCCGGCCGCGCCGTCGGTTGGTTCGTTCGTTACTTCGTTGGTACCTTTTCGTCCCTCTTTTCGTTTCTGGATTCGTGATTTCCGCCGGCGCAAAGTGTCGAAAATTTTCGCTCAATGGGCACGAAAGACGACCAAGATATTCTCCGTTCGGTCGTACACTCCACATTTTTCTTCATTTCAAGATTATTTGGTTTCATTAGTACAACACTCTGATCGATCACTTGGATTTGAAATTCAAATTCGATGGGTTTCGGCAGGATATCTACATAGATTTACATGGAAAATAGTGAACGTAGAACGTGAAAACAAGTTATTTTCTCTAAAACATGGTGGAAAATACAGTTTCGCCATTGCGGAGTGACAGTGAAATTTGACATCGAGTGAAAACCGTCGCTTCTAGATAAGATTTCTAACTTGCCAATTACCTAATTTCAAGCGGACATTTTTATGAAATATCAGAAGCTCAGCTACAATATGTACAGGGTGTCTCGAAAGCAACAATTTATTTTTTCATCTTCGATGAATTTTCAACCGACGTTTCTCTCGACGTAGATTTGACAAACATCCGACAAACATCATCTTTTTTCATGATCTCTCGATCTTGATCATCGATGCTTGTAATGATATAAAATGTATTAGAATTGCGAGTATGATTTTCTCTCACCGTGAGATCGCGGGCGGATAATCGGAGCTTAACATAGAGTAACGAAAGCGGAATCCTGTTCGAGATATATGCCAGGCTATATACGAAAGTTCATATATGAAAGTCTGTGATGAATGATCTGTCCGATTACGCACTTTCGAGATGATAATCTGCGATAGGAACGACGCAATTCCTCTCGCGATCTTCTACTCGGAGATCCCTCGAACATTTTTTTTTCTTAAAATCTCAAAGACAGTGGAAGATAAATATTTCTGAAATAGGAAATGAAAAATACTAATAAGACGACACAGAACCAAAGAATTACAATCGGAGTAACATTTTAATTGATATGTTGCTCGACTGCAATATAAATCCTAATTTATAAAAAAAACAGATATAATATTGATATTAATAAAGAAACAATGGTAATTATAATATTATGTTAATTAATATTATAGCATTGAGATTGATGTGCGTATCACATTTACAGATATTATAATATTAATTAATTTGCGGATATGCCTCGCGCGCGAGCACAAATTTCCTTGTCGATTCGCCAACCTCTCCCCCCTTCTCGCGTCGTTGCATTTTACGCGTGGCATATTTTTTTATTGCTAAAGCTGCTTCGAATACGTGTCCCGGCACACAGAGATACTCGGTACACGATACCGATACCCCGAAAGCCTTAAACACGACCAAGCGCAATTTACGCTTTAATTAACACACGCGCGGTAATACCTCGACAGTGAGAGTACACGTGCTCTAACTTCCAAATAAGTTCGAGAGTTACTGCGTGCGGACGAACGTGTGCGAGCATTCAATGTCCCGATCGCCGTGATCTAGAATACTGTCTACTAGACTATTCTCTTTCATCGTGCGTTTTTTTTTCTTTTCTTCTTTCTCTCTTTCTACACGCAGTGGCAAATCGAAGCCACCAGTATAAGGCTTTTTTTCTACCGACATTCGTAGAAGATAACCACTGCTTCAACGTAAACATCTGGTTGCTTCCACGCGCTATAACGCGTGCTCGACGTTAATTTTATTTCTACCGTGTTGCGAACACACGGAGAACTATCGTCGTCGTAATGTGACGCGCGAGGCATCAATTTTTAATTTCTCGACGATGCACTTTTACATATTGCGACGTGCAAATGCATAGAACGTTGCTTAGAGAAGCGTGCACAATCGCGAGAAAGCGAGAAGGGAAAAATATCGAGCGTTTATTCGATCAAAAGAATGTTTTCCTACTCGCTAATCTCTCGATCGGGGCGCGTTCTCTTTGCGTTTCACTTATCGATTGTTCCATCTTTTTTTGTTCTCGTTTACCGAAATCACATTATCGAGCAAATGTACATGGGACGTTTAAAACGGCATACTTGAATATCATTAGAACGCACACCAACACAAAGAAGAGCAACGATATTCAAGTGCACGATTTTAAATGTCTAACCGCTGTTATCAGTGATGAAGTATAAAATTGATTACGCTGCGGCATCATATCGATATGTCGATACGTAGACGCAAAAGTCCCATAGAATGAGATCGTTTCCAGAATTAAAATTTAATTAATTAAGTCAGCGAGTATATTTTATGTAATGCGATATATTGGGCCACTCCATAAATAATGCGAGTTTCCTTTCGAAGTGACATCGCTGAATCTTTATCGCGAGTACGAAAAACATCTTTGCCTTGGGTACAGGTGTCTTTCGTTGCGCTTAAAGAAAAAGGAAAGAACATACAAAAGACTCGCATTATTTATGGAGTGACCCAATAATAATGTCGATTCTACATAGTAGTTATTTTGCCGGCAGATCTCACATCCGAACGTAGGTCAGCTAGATTTCCGATTATTTCTGCAGGTACGTGGTTAACTATTATTATCGCAAGTCTGAATAATAATGGTCGGTATATCGTACATATGGCGCAAGTATAAATGTGGTACGTTAACGCTATTTCCGTACAGTCGATGTACAACACAACGTTTATACGCATATTAACGTACACAGCATAAACGGACTATAGTTCGCGATATCGGCTTTAAGTGTAAAGTCGTATTTGAAATAGATACGATGATAATTGCGGGCTTCGTTTCGATTCCTTCATTTATACTCAAGATATTATATATTGTTACTATATGTATATATAATACAGCAATTATCTTCATGCATACGGTGTCTTTGCCGTGTGATATTGCCGTGTCACAGTAACGAAAAATGCAATGTTAAGAATATCACATAATATCAAACGTATAATTTAACGTCAATTTATAATTGTGGCGTTATTATTATACGGCGTTATACGCACCACTAATAATGTAATAATTATATATGCACAACTATATAGTAATATCACATAATATCATGTAATATCAGTACGATATAACGACCATTGTTATTTGGCAAAATCAAAAACGCGCGTTCGTGCGGCGAGCATTGTTACGTCTCTCATTGTCAATGTGAGATCGCGGGCAGCAGCAGACGTTCATTAATTAACTCGCGCAAGTCGTATTACGTAAAGTGCGTAACTACTGCGCCTCGGTTCGCACGCGCGCGAATAACTTGCTGAATTCGCTCGTTCATCAAATGCTCTTACATTTTGCCCCTTCTCTGCAAATCTTCATTTTTCGTGTTCGCTTCTCGGCAAGTTGAAGATAACAGTAACGCGCGACGATACCCTTTTCCGGCTTCTTGCGCGAATTTCTCGTAATACGACGATGGTATTCCGCATGGCGCACACAGAATTTTCTTAATTTGAAAATAGAAAATTTCTATTTTAGAATATTGAATATATATTTTTCCTATATAAGAATAGAAAATTTCTATATCTATCTAAAAATATCAATTTTTCTTCACATAGAGATGAAATATTCTCTTACATTTTAGACTTGAGTTTTTACAATGTAAAAATATGAGATTTTATTATTTCAGAACTTGTTATTTTTAGTAAAAAATATAAGGTTGTTAAGAGAGAAGAATTTAGAATTTAAATTTCTTTTGATATAAGAGAACAAAAAATTTCAGAATTTTATAACTATAATAATTACTCTAAATTAGCAACTTACCGTATTCAAAAACTCAAGTCTCTATCGAAAGAGAAAAATAGAAATTTCTATTTTAGAGAATTCAAATTTCCTTTAATATATAAAAGTAAAAGTATAAAATATTACTATTTTCATGACTTGTTGCCCAAAGGCACCAGCGAGTTACTTCACTGATCTCCGCGGTAAAATTTTGCATTGTAGATCGTTTGCTTGGATTTCAGCACCAAATACAGCAGCTACCGCAAAATAATCTTCAACAAAATAACGCTCAGAGTCTGCAGCGGGACAACATGCCGAGAGGAAAAGATTCGAAGCCAAGGGGACGGATGACAGCGTACGCGTTCTTCGTCCAGACGTGTCGTCAGGAACATAAAAAAAAGCATCCCGAGGAGAAGATCGTCTTCCGAGAGTTCTCCAAAAAGTGTGCAATGAGATGGAAGGTAAGGTTTTTTTTTCCAGCTTCAAACAGGCGACCTAGAATATCATAAAATTAGTCTTTGCATTTATAAAATTACATTAATTAACTATTTAAATATAAATAGTCTTCGTAATAACGGGTAGAAAGTACGGAATGTTTCTCCTCTTTGCTGGAATCGCGGGAGTCCTTGTAATAGAATACAGACGCGATCACGTAATCAGAGAGACGATCGAACTTCCCGCATCGATTTCACGGCTCGAGGTGCGAGTGGAGAGTGAGAGGCGTTTGACGTTCTGTCGAAAGTTTCACGAATTCGCGAGAGTCGCTTTGATCTTCGACTCCGAATACACCCGCTTTGATAAACACGACGAGTACAGTTGAATCGTGACTGACACGTGGCTCTGTTAATTCGTCAATCTTCATTTCGCTCGCGGCGGAATCGAAATTACAGCAATAAGAGAAGCCGGCGATATTTTTGCGAAAACAAGCGTCTCTCTCGTGACTGTTCCTTTTCTCATTCTTCTTTGTTAATTTACTATTATGGATATAATATACATAGATTACATCGTATGTTCATAGACTATGTCAGACAAAGAGAAGAAGCGTTTCCACGAAATGGCAGAGAAAGATAAGAAGAGATACGACGCAGAGATGCAAAACTATACGCCGCCTAAGGGAGAGAATAAAGGCAGGGGCAAGAAACGCAAACACATCAAGGATCACAATGCTCCCAAGAGATCGCTGTAAGCCCCTCGTATCGTACATAGTGTGTCGTCGATCTTGATGGAAAAATTTGCCGCGGCTGACATTCAGATAGATAGAGAGAAAAACTGATTCGGAAGATCGGACCGTAAACTCAAATTCAATATTTAAACATCATAAAAAATTTAAGTTTTTAGAGAACTTAAATTTCTTTCGATAAAAATATACATAGATTTTATCGTTTTAAATTTTTTACTTTTATTATAAAACGTTAAAAAATCGTTGTTACATTCATTTTATTCGGTTTTCCACGAAGGAAATTATTTATACTGTTGTTGTGCGCTCTGCTAATCATATTTGGATTGACAATTCCATTCTATTGATCCTATCAGGTCTGCCTTCTTTTGGTTCTGCAACGATGAGCGTGGAAAAGTGAAGATGCTAAATCCTGAGTATGGCGTGGGCGATATAGCTAAAGAATTAGGCAAGAAATGGTCAGATGCAGATCCCGAAACCAAATCTAAATACGAGGCTATGGCGGAGAAGGATAAAGCTCGATATGAGAGGGTAACATATCTCTTTATCAGGTTCCATCTTTGTAACTGTTTGACACATTAAAGGCTGATTTCTCACAATAATAGTTTCAACTTAAATCTAAATTTAAATTACTGTTGAAAAAAAAATCAGCCCTAAGTGTCATGTATATGTCATGTATATGTCATACATATGATGGTGTGTCGATACTTTAGAGAATTTTACTTTTAATTTTATCACATTCTTATTTCTCCCGTATAAATTTTGTTTTCGTTCGTGTGTTTCTTTTACTATGGAATTTTGCTTGTTAATAATTAAATAAATTAGTCATTTAATGTATTTTTTTTTTCTGTCGCAGGAGATGACTGCGTACAAAAAGAAAATGCAGGACGGCGCCCCGGTGGTGGGCGGCGCGCCGGCAAACACTGTAAAAAGCGACAGCGAAGAGGAATGGAAGGAAGACGACGAATAGCGGATGCACGTCGAAATTTCATCTATCACCCCGTGTCCTTCATCCTGAAAGCATACCTCACCTACTGTACGTACCATTGACCTTAGCGTGAGCGTACTTACACCACTAGGAGAACAAATAACTAACCACCAATTCAAACCTTACCTACCTTATCAATCTATCACAATCTACCAACCAACCATCCAACCAACCCCAACCAACCAACCAAGACTCCTTTCTCCTAATCCTTCCCTGATTATTTACGATAATAATAAAAAAGGTACCCCGCGCGATTTACGATAATTATTTTAAAAAAAAGAAAAATATTGTATGTGTGAGAGTGCCACCGCGCGTGCGCGAGTTTGAGCGAGAGGCGAGAGGATTGTGTGAGTGACATTTGTACTTTAAAACATTATTGATAGTAAAAAGAAAACAATGTAAAGTGGCTAGTAGGATAGAAGTCGGAAGAAGAAAGAAAGAAAAAGGAAAAAAAGGAATACGAGAAAAAGCCGTGGAGAGAATGAAGAATGATATATTGCGCCCGCTCTTTCTTTCTGTTCCGGGTGGGAAAGGCGCAAAATAGGCTCAATCATTGCTGACTTTTCGCTCTCTCTCTCCGACGCTATGTTACTACGAGCTAGCTAAGGCTTAGTTTACCGCTTTTGACGAAACTTGACGAAGACGATACGGTTTCTTCCATGCGGTGTTTTACCAATGAACCCGCTGAGATATCGGGGATATTACATTATAATTTTAATAAGTACATCGAATTTTGTTCAACATGTAAAAGATATAGATTTTCCGAGTGTGTATCAGTAGATGTACTAACATATTTTATATGATGTATATTATAGTACAACCTATAATAATACATTTATATGATACATACGCTGATACATCTACAAGTACATATTTGCGCATGCATCAGTGTTGTTCACGAGTATATATTGCAGCGATGCACAGAGTGCGTATTAATAAATAAATCTTTCATGTGCTATTGGCACATTCGTGATGTTAAGTTCTCGACGAAATTTTAATACGACGTATCAGATCTTTGAGTAGATCTCCAAGAAATATAATTGGAAATATATTTTGAATATATGAATTGTGACTTTTAATTAATTCGTCACTGGGCGTCGTCGTCTTCGTCGTGACACATACACAAATACACACTTATACACAGATTATTATTGTATATCCTTGTACAGAGAGCTTTGTCTTTCCTTTCCTACTTTTTAGCGAATCTGATCGTTGAGCGCGCGTGCCGGGGGCATGGAGCTGCTTTTTACGTATGTAATGATGTGCGAATGTAATTTTTGATTCTCGGGTACACGCACGTCGTAGTAATAATACTGTAAGTACTTTAGTATAATTATTATAAGTGTACGTGTATCTTCGACGCGGACTTCTGGATTTTCCTACAACTCTCTTAACGCTTTTTCTTCAGCGTGCGACATAACTTTTGTTGTTACGAGCTATACGAGCCACGTGATTGAGCCTTATTACTGATAGCTGATAAGCGATCGCTCGAATCGAATCGAGAGAACTGTATGCGAGAAAGAATGGAAATGAGAGAGAGAGAGAGAGAGAGAGAGAGAAAGAGCGCGAGGGTGAGAGCGTGTGTGTGTGTGTGTGTAGCTCGCAGCTTTTACTAAATCAAAATTAGCAAAGCCATGGAGCAGAGCGATATCGCCGAGTTCTTAACACTGACAAAATGACAACTGTTGTACTCACGAAACATGAGAGGGATTCATTCTTTCACATGCTAGGCATGAAGGTTACCGTGTCGAATTATATAACGTCAGAAAGCGACTGAACGCACGCGAATTAATCCTGCGGTGTACGTCGAAATAAATTAATTTTTTTCCTTTTTCTTTTCTTTTTCTTCACAAAAATTTAATAGAGTAGTTTAGTAATGATATATTATGTCTAAGATTTTCTGTGTGTGAACCAAGTGGATTGGAATCGAGTATATTCTGACATACTGTATTGTTAAATTATTTACACATTATTGTATGTATTGTACTGATTATTTACACATTATATGTATTATATTGATTATATTACATTCCGATGTCGTTACCTTTCGTACTATGTGAATAATATCACGTGTTAGACATTACCGATACCATTTAGAGTATACTCGATTTCATAACTGATTACAAGTCCTTATTACGTAAAATCAATTCATGATTTTTATATAAGCACTACTGCAGTTGACAAATGATATTTAGGTATCGAATCGACTAAGTATATTACGAATACTTAGGCCCACCTATATATAACTATGAATTTTAAATCAGATTTAAATTAAAAATTTAATCTCGACTGTCATAAGGGACTCATTTAAATTGAATTTTAAAATGATATGCATTAATAATGTTTCGTATATTCGCTTATATTCGGCAGTAAAATTTTCCTATATAATTTTATAAACGTATTTTCATGCCTTATATTGTTAATAATATAACTGAACTATTTCTCCTCGTAAAAGAACTATCGAACGTGAGATCATTGATACTAGAAAGAAATTAAAGAATTAGTAATCCAGGAAAGAATTTTTTCGCGCGAATGTCGTTATATGTTATTGAATATTCGCGTACTTACACCTATATTGTTTGTCTCTGATTAGCCTTTCCCTCTGAATTACGCTGTTGTATTAAACTTTTTTATTTTCTTTAAAAAAAATTAATTTATTTCGACGTACACAACAAGATACGATCCGTGTTTTTCGCTCGCGTTCGCCGTTGCATTATCATGAACAGTCTCGATCGTAAAACGCGAAGACGACGTTCGACGATGTCTCTGTCGGCGTTCGTTTTACTTCAACGTGCGCGCGACAACGAGAAAACGTTCGTTTACCTCTGAATTTTTATTTTGATCTTAACATTGTACTGACGGAATTTTGTTGTTTCACCGCCTTTTACTTTTTTTTTTATCGCGTAATGTATCGCGGGAAGACATTCGTATCTTCTTTTCGTTTGACTTTTTCTTCAATTTTTTTCAGATATCTCAGAGTGGTTCCTGTCCTTTGCCATCACTATTTTCCCTCTCATTTAATTCGTTCTTTTTTTTTGCTTTCATTTTATTAAAGGAGACGCGAAAGATAAAAGAGGAAGTACGTTCAAATCTCTCGTCTCGAGACTCACGTGAATGATTGATTGATTGATTGATTGATTGATCGACCGAACGATCGCCGTTTTACGCTTCGTGAATCGTAACATACCTTTCGGGAGCGTGTTTCGGGTGAGGAAGAAGCAGCAGCAGCAGCTCCCCGCCGCGAAGAAGGGCGTTCTCTTTTTTCTCTGTCTTGTACTGCCTCGAGTTATCTGTGGTGTACAGCAGGCTGTATTATAATAAATTATTGTGGTTTCTTGTAATATTAACATTCCTAGATCCTAGCGTGTACAGATTCTAATAATCGTTCACGGGATTATAGAGAGGGGACTGTGCAGGAGGAGGAGTTGAAGAAAAAGGAAAAAGAACGAAAGAAAGAGAAAAGGAAAAACAGAAAAATAAGTAGGCCAGATCTCACTGGTTTCTTCTTATGTCTGTACCGTGGAAAAAAAGAAACCAGTGTCCATTCCTCCAGTTTTTGACGATACAAGCCTTAAAATTTGCAAACATTTTTATTGAAATTAATTATATTGATTAATTATATTTGGCTGATTGAAGAATATCATTGAGCTCTTCGAAAACTCTTGAATTTAAAATGTTTGCAAATTCCAAGACTTCATTTCTCTACGAACATTAAGTCACTCTTCGTGTCCCTCCCCCCGTCCGCGTTCCCTTCCCTTCTCTTCCTTTCCCTTTCCTGAAAACACATTGTCTCATGTTGTCGACGTAAAATGCGATTCTGACGATTGATTACGAGCAGAACAAAAAGAAAAGAAAATGGAACCAGTTTTCTAGAGGGAGATCTAGAGGACGCGAAGGAAACCGACTGTAAAATATCAAATTGTAATATTTTAATACTGATTTGCAGATGTGCATAATTTTAACGAACATAGCCAATTATGCGGAAGAGCGAATCGTAACTGATAACAATGGTAAGATTTGTGAGATAGTCTGTTCGATGAAGAGAGATTCAATTGAATAGAGAAGAAAAAAGAAAGAGAGAAAGAAAGAGGAGAGAGGTAAAAATAAGAAAGAAAAAGAAGAAATGGAATATATTCGAAAAGATCACGACATGAATTTCCTGTGTTACTACTAGGGGAGTTACGATAGTTATATACGAGAAGAAATGTTTGTTTTGTATATCTCTTAGGGATAAATAAACTTTTCAAAAAAATATATATTTTTTTGTACTTTTCTCCTATTGCTGTATATTTTCTCAATATCTTTTCTTTCATTATTGCTCAAATGTCCTTCCTTTACTATTGCATCTCTTCCTGATGTCCTTTCCTTTACTACTATATCTTTTCTTGATGTCCTTCTTTATCATTACATCAAATTTCTTAGCGCATTTCCGCATTCCAATTCAGCATTCAATCTCTAAAAAATATAAATATTAGGAGAGTATACAGAATTAGGGAAGGTAATAAGATAATTATATAAAATATACGTAATATTGATGCAGTAATTTACAAATGTGTGAGGTACCAATAACAAGACTCTTTAGAAAGAACATTTGAATGTTTATAACTTTGTAATAAGAAATGTAAACTATACCTTTTGTCTGTTCTTAAAAAAATATTATCTAACACATCTGTAAACTAATGCATCAATATATAATAATATATGGTTAGTAATATATGATTTAATTTTTATAAAATACAATTATAATTCAATAATATAAATAAATATTAATATATTTTTCTTTACAATCATAATATATATAAACCAAATCTTACTTATCATATTTTAATTGTACTTTATATACAAAGGTTGGCACAATTCATATTCTTAACAATTACTATTTTCAACTGTAAATACTTACGTATGATTGAAAATCGTAAGTTGAAATTTCAACATTATAATATAGTAGATTAATATAGTATTAGTTCTTAACAACAAAAAATAAGAAAAGGATTGCGCTCTATCAGATTTTCGTTGTGTAAGAACATTGGATTCACGATTGATAGAAGAATTAGACGGATAACATTTATACGTGCGTTTATATACCTTGTATTACACCACCATTTTGCCGATTTTATTAGATTGTAAGATTGATTAGATTGTAAGACGAAAATCTAAAAGTGCATTCGAGAAGCATGCTATCAGCACTATTCAACGATAATGTATTCTATTTTTGTTGTACATCTAAAGAGATAAAGGTGGAATGACGCGATAACGTTGATAGCGCGCTCTTCGAACGCACTCTAAAACTTTTTTAACAAAAAAATATCGTAAGATCTATTCTTTAAATATATTGACTGTATATACACACATATTTCGAATCAATGCGCCATTTGTCGATGGCCATAAACTATGACCGTTAACGTAGAAAGAGAACCGAAAGAAAACTAGATATGCTCTTTCTGACTACATTTTATGTATCTCGTTGCACTTTTTTCTCTCCTTTTCCTTCCCGGTACGTTATAATTATGTGGCCGTTTTATTTGATATTTGAAGGATACAAAGTGTCGCACAATACAGCTAAAAGAGTAGAATCTGTCACATACGAACGAGACTGTAGAAAAGCTAAAAACGTGTGTGACGCTACCTGTCGGATGCGTCGACGAACTAACTGCAACGGAGTCGGTTCATCTTGATATTTTCTAGGTACAGTCACCTTTTTGTTTGCGTTCGGTCTTGACAGTTATACGAAGGGCACGTATACATACGTTTGAAAATTCAATGCAACAGACTTAATGGCCGCTGAAAAGTCGTGAGCAGCGGTTCGCCCGGCGGCCTTCCACTTTCGTGCGTCTCGTCTTAGCGCGCGTTACAATACGATTAGGCGCGAGTAACGTGTCGCCGAGATCGAAGCCGCCCTTCTTATGCCGTCATTTTGCTAGGTAAGTTCTCGACAATCACATGAGAACATGAAAACCGTGAAAATCGACGACATCGAAACTGGAGGCTCGAATTGCTTCGTGTACTCATCTGCACTCTGTGAGAATCCTGACCGACCGATCAATTTCACGACCGTTATCCCTTTGGCAAATCTATTGCATGCGTAAGGGTATTGCGTGGTATAGTCAGAAAGGAAACACTTGTGAGTTTTAGAAATCCGTTACATTCACAGTCTATTTTTCTCTCATCTCGGATTTTAATATTATTTATTTATATTTATTGATTAAACTTGTTGATGAGACTTTATTTTTTAACTGCGTTTTCTATATTCTTCCTTTATTCTCGTTTCTATTTTTTCTCTTGCAGTGTCTGAATATATATTTATTTTATTTGGAATATAAAAAATCAGCATAGTGCAGCTAAGAAAATCATAAGTTTGTTTCTAAAGCATTGCTGAGTGCTTTAAATGAAGTTGATCGGTGGTTGAATTCATTGCATGGTAGCACATGTTCTAAACTTAAATCACTAGAAATATTAGCAATATTTGAATGTTTCGATATCTTTGACATAAAGTAGTAGAATTATTTGTATATATTTATTAAGATGATGATTGAATTTATTGGATTATTTAAAGTTCTTAAAATTTTGATAACAAATGATTAATTTTTAACTTTTATGATATTCTTATTTTCTATTTGTTTATAATCTTGATCACTAATGCTTTATGTAATTTATATGTAATAAGTTTATGTATAAATATCCTTTATATTATTTCTCATGATGTCTAAAGGAATATTTTGAATGACTCATTCTTCTAGGTGATCAATCATGGAGCAAGATACAGAATATGTGAAGTTACCCTTAGAGGAGCGTTGCGTGCATAAGGTAAAAATATATTGTTTCTAAATATTTATTAAAAATAGCTGGATTTTTATCAATATATAAATTTATGAGATTATTGTGATTGATGCATTACAAAATTGATTACTGTAATTGAAGAATAAAGAATCTTTTTAATTCTTTAATTTGTATTTAAATATATTAGTATTATTTTCATAATTTTAATTTTTTTTTTCACTTTTAATAAAGCTTGCCAGATATTCTTTGGAACATGTGTCTCAATAACATTCAAAAAAATAATTGACTGTAATCTCTAATAAAGGTCTAATAGAGAGCTAACCTATTATAACTGATACAACTAAAACTTTTGCGCTATTAAATTCTATATTAGATTAAACTTTAACGTCTCCTGTAATAAAATGTGTAGTCTTGGAGAGCACGTTTGCATGGCTACGAGGAATGTGTGAAGACATTCCAATGCATCGATGATGAGAAGTCGACAGAGTGGAATAAGTATGTGGGCTTTATCAAGAAATTCGTGGGGGACAGCAATGCAGCGGCGCAGGAGAAAGGATTAGAGGCGACGCTGGCTTTCGTGGAGAATGCCGCGGTGGCTGGTAAGATAGTCGGCGAGGTGATGAGCGGCATCGTATCCAAATGTATCGCGGCGCCAAAAACAAAGACGAAGGAGCTGGCAGTGCAGATCACACTGATGTACATAGAAATCGAAAAGCACGAGGCGGTGCAGGAGGAGCTGCTACGCGGTACGGAAGCGAAGAATCCTAAAATCGTGTCTGCATGTATCGCTACGTTGACGTTAGCGTTGAAGGAATTCGGGCCGAAAGTCGTGAACATAAAGCCACTAATGAAGAAGATTGCGAATTTCCTGGAGGACCGGGACAAAACAGTGCGCGAAGAAGGCAAGATGATGGTAGTAGAAATGTATCGCTGGATAGGCGACCGCCTGAAGCAGCAGCTGAACACACTGAAACCAGTACACATAACAGAATTAGAGGCGGAGTTCAATAATCTGTCAGATGACAAGGTGGTACCGACACGTCACCTGCGCTCGCAGAGGCCGAAGACCGTCAGCGGTGTCACGGCGACGGATGTCGCAGTAAGTGACAACGGTGAAGAGGACAATGAGGACGGCGAAGGTTCCTCCGTGCCGGACATAGACCCGTATGACTTGTTATCACCCGTGGACATCTTGTCGAAGTTGCCGAAAGATTTCTACGAGAAGATAGAGGCGAAGAAATGGCTGGAGCGCAAGGAGGCATTGGAGGCTCTTGAGACGCTCGTGAAGAACCCAAAACTGGAGAACGGCGATTATGGCGACGTAGTACGTGCCTTGAAAAAGATAATCTCAAAGGATACGAATGTGCCGGTGGTTACATTGGCTGGTAAATGTCTGGCTGGTCTTGCGTCAGGTCTGAAGAAGCGTTTCCAGTCGTATGCTGGCGTCTGTCTTCCTGCGATTTTGGAGAAATTCCGCGAGAAGAAACAGACGGTGGTACAAGCGCTGCGTGAAGCCGCTGACGCTGTTTATAAAAGCATCAACATTGAGCAAATTCTCGAGGATACTCTCGCTGCGTTGGAGAATAAAAACCCTGCTGTGAAAGCCGAGACGGCCGCGTATCTGGCTCGTTGCTTCTCTCGCACACCACCAGACATGTTGAATAAAAAACTGTTGAAGGCATATACGGGTGCGCTGTTGAAGACACTAAATGAGCCGGATCCAACAGTGCGCGACAATTCGGCGGAGGCATTGGGTACAGCGATGAAGCTGATTGGCGAGCGAGCGATGATGCCATTCCTCACGGACATTGACAATCTGAAAATGACAAAAATCAAGGAGTGCGCGGAGAAGGCGACGATCATCGTCAAGGTGTCGGGTGCTACGAAGAAAGCAGCTGCGGATCGACCCAATACTGCTCCGGCGAAGGTAGAGACGATAAAGGCGATGAGCAAGGAAAGCAAAGACAAGAAAGCCAGTAAGAGACCTAACAGCAGCAATACCGCTGCGAACAAGAAGTCGGCGGCTAAAAAACCCAGCGCATTGTCGTTGACGAATCTAGCGTCCAAAAAACAACCGACGGAGAGAAACTATAGTCCTGAGGAGATCGACGAGATGGCGGCGCAATTGTTGCCGGCTGAGGTGATCTCAGGCCTGGTAGACAGCAATTGGAAGACGCGTCTAGCGGCGATTACACAGCTGTTGGACGTGGTGAAGAGCATGGACTCAGCTGAAGTATCCGCGCAGGTGATCGTGCGCACGCTGGCGAAGAAGCCCGGCTTCAAGGACACGAACTTTCAGGTGCTGAAGCTGCGCATCGAGGTGGTTAAACATCTGGCCGAGTGTCATCCATTCTCGGTCACTGTGGCCGAACATTGTCTCGTGGAGATCGCGGAGAAACTGGCGGACACGAAGAACAGCGCGATCGCTGCGGAAACGCTACTGGCGATCGCTGAGGCCACGAGTTTCGAGTACGTGGCAGACGAGGTGGTCGGATACGCGTTCAATCAGAAAAATCCTAAGGTGCAGCAGGAGACGCTGCTGTGGCTGTGCCGTGGTCTCGCGGACTTCGGCTGCTGTATCAATGTCAAATCCGTCATTGAGCACGTGAAACGCGCAGTGTTGGCGACAAATCCTGCTGTGCGGACCACCGCTATAACGCTCTTAGGTACTCTCTATCTGTATATAGGCAAGTTACTGCTGTCGTTCTTCGATAATGAGAAGCCGACGTTGAAGCAGCAGATCGAGCAAGAGTGCGAAAAACGCAATGGTGAAATACCACCGGCGCCTGTTCGCGGCGCTAAGGCTAAAAAGACAGGCAACAACAATGTTCAGAATGACGAGGATGACGATGAAGATTCTGTGGAATCGTCGGACAAGAAGCAGCCGTTAGTCGCTGGTAGTAGCGAACAAGATCTGATTAATGATTTAATACCTCGTGTTGACATCAGCAGCCAGATTACGGACGGCCTGTTAGCCGAGTTGGCTGACAAAAACTGGAAGGTACGTAACGAAGGTCTGCAGAAGATAAACGCCTTACTCAACGAAGCCAAATACATCAAGCCCAACATCGGTGACCTACCACAGAGCTTGGCGTTGCGTTTGGTCGACAGCAACAGCAAGATCGCACAATCGACTCTAGGTCAGTGATTTTGTTGTAATCAATTGTATACTTTATTTATTTTTATTAACTATAATTGTTCATCATTAATCTTTATTCGGGCAAACTATATTTATGATGCAGTTGATTTGTTGTAAAAGTGAAAATATTTAAAGCATATCTAGTTTTCATAATTTTCCTCAAAAATAATACAAAAACAAATATAGTTATTAAATTTCAAATATAACAAAAGTATGACTTTAATATACAAGAGAAATTGGTTCTGAACTCCAACGGACCCCACTTTCCCAGATAAGGGTTAAATATTAATTTATAGTTACAATAATTTTAAAGTAAAAAGTCTAATCGCATTCAATATTAATCATTACTTACAAAAACTTAATTTTTTCATTCTTTCTTTCTTTAGGAATATGCGAGACGCTGGCGACGGCCGTTGGTGCGCCATTGAAACAGCATGTGCGTACTTTGTTCCCTGGGTTCCTGCAGTGTTTAGGCGACAGCAAGAATTGGATCAGAACGGCCGCGATCTCTTGTATTAATACCTGGGGAGATCAGTGTGGCTACAAAGAGTTTTTCGATGGCGAGATGATAGGAGACGCCTTGAAGACAGGCTCACCAATGCTTCGTACTGAACTCTGGAATTGGTTGGCGCAAAAATTGCCTGCGATACCCGTGAAACAAATTCCCAAGGAAGAACTACTTATGTGTCTTCCTTATCTGTATGCTAATCTGGAGGATCGTAATTCCGATGTGAGGAAGAACGCTCAGGAAGCTGTGCTCGGATTCATGATTCATATCTCGTACGAGGCGATGGCTAGAAACACTGAGAAACTGAAGGTATACTGCAAGTAATGCAGTTCAGTAATGATGTAGCAAATAATATTGTAAGAATTACAACAATATGATGATTTTGCAGCCTGGTTCGAGAACTGTAGTACTTGCCGTATTGGACAAAGCTCGTCCCAGTCTACCTGTGAAGCTTCCACCCAAGAAGGAGCCTTCAGATGAAAACATCCAGAAGGGTGGCACAAAGGGTGCGAAAGTAGCGAAAGTGGTTAAATCGGTAACGAAATAAAAAATTCTAAAAACATAAAATATATATAATTAGTATATATAAATAATTTTCTTAAATTATTGATATAAAGTTTTAGTATAAGTAATATTCTCACATAATGTGATCTCAATTTTCATAAACTATATAAATATTAATTTATTATATTCATACAATATTTTGTTCTTTTCTTCTAAATTTGTTACTGTCGCTATTTTTGCTGCAATTCATTAGTCGGGTGCTATTCCAGAAGGGTGCATCATCGAAAGCGCCGGGCAGTGCTCGCAAGAAAGACGATGACGTGGATACTAGTCCTCTATTAGTGGTGAATAACTTGAAGCATCAGCGCGTGCTTGACGAGCAAAAGTTGAAGTTACTTAAGTGGAACTTTACCACGCCTAGAGAAGAATTCGTCGAGCTTTTGAAAGAACTTATGACTGTAGCGAACGTTAACAAGACATTGAGGGCGAACATGTTTCATTCTGATTTTCGATATCATCTGAAGGCTATTGAGGCACTTACTGAGGTGAGTGTATATATCTGAAACAAAATCTATTATATGATTCGTTTCTTTAAAAATAACAATGTATTCTGATTTGGTAGCATTTTACATTCGATATATGTAGCATAATGTTTAATCTTGTATGTGATCCCTATATTAGGATTTACCTGGGAATAGCAAAGCATTGGTATCTAATTTGGATCTCATCTTCAAGTGGCTGACGTTGCGATTTTTTGATACTAATCCTTCGGTGCTTTTAAAAGGATTGGATTATCTGCAATTGGTTTTTAATCTATTAATAGAAGATCAGTATCACATGCTGGAAACTGAAGCAGCATCATTTATCCCTTATCTTATTATCAAAGTACGTTATATATATTTTGTTGTATTTATGTATATATGCGTATTTTGCATAAGTTATATGATACAACACTTACATTTTTATCATTATTATATTTCACTATATTAATATTATTATGTTTGCTATTTCATAATAGATAGGCGACCCAAAGGATGCTGTACGTAATGGCGTGCGCGCATTGTTCAGGCAAATTGCCCTGGTATATCCTGTGAGCAAATTGTTCTCTTACGTGATGGAAGGTCTGAAATCAAAGAATGCGCGACAACGAACAGGTAAGAAATCCGAATTCAGTATGTCCTTTTTTATTCTGTAAAGTTAGTTCTGTAGAACGCATATACGTGAATTAAAATAATATTGTCATATACTTGCAGAATGCCTGGATCAATTAGGATCGCTAATTGAGAGTTATGGAGTTTCTGTCTGTCAGCCTAGTCCGTCTGCGGCGTTGAAAGAAGTGGCGAAGCAAATAGCGGATCGCGATAATTCCGTTCGTAACGCTGCTCTCAATTGCATCGTCCAGGCCTATTTCCTACAAGGAGAACGCGTATTTAAACTCATTGGCCAAGTATGTAATGTATACATAGCATAATTTGAAGAATTGTTAAATTTTGTTAATTTAGCTTTTTTCTCACTATCTTATCTTTATTATGTAGATATCGGAAAAAGATAAATCGTTGTTGGATGAGCGCATCAAAAGAGCGGCGAAGAATCGTCCTGCGAAATCCGTATCCGCCAACAAACTCTCCACGCCTGTAGTTACAGCTTCCGGTCCTCCCACGGATGACATGGAGGTAGATTACGAAGAAGAACAAGAAGAAATTCCGGAGGCGGTCGAGCCGGTGCCGGAATTGTAAGTTTATATACTATACTGTAAAATTGTGTTTTTGCACTTATCGTAAATACTCTTTATAAAATAATAATCCATTCTTCTTTTTAGTAGCCTCTTTTCTCGCTTTCCTACAATTTTATTATTTCCTTTTTCTTGTAAAAGGAGAACGTATTTGTTTTATTTAAAATGCGTGGAGAGTGTAGCAAAGTGCAGCTAAAAAAACAGGATTGACCTCTATTGTAAACTCAATATTTTGTAAGAAAGAGAAGAGTGGATTTAGCGTATTTTATAATTATTTAAACAATTGTATAACCCAAAATTATCTCAAGCTTATTATATTATGTGCGGAAATTATATGCAGTTATTCACGTTCGCATCTGCTTCGCTTTTAACATAATGTCCGCAGGGTAATAACCACTGATACGACGAACACTGATAATAATCAGGAGGATCAGGTGCTTCCTTCCGTGGACGTTCAGTCCACTACCGAACCATACCAGGAAATTACCAACGATCTCGACATCAATAACGCAAAAAATTGTCTACCCGATAATGATCGTGACAATTTGACAAAGTTTGTTGCTTCTTCCTCGATTTCCCGTTTTACGCTCTCTGGAACACGCGCTTTGATAAAAAAAAAAAAAAACGGTGTTGGGAAACGTCTTGGGATTTCATCGTTCTATTTATACACTCAATTTTCGATAATTCGTCCATTAGAACGTTGTCAATTGTGGAGTTGTCCATTTTAATTTCGCTCTAGTTTAATAATTAAGCCGGCTTTAGAAAGAAGTACGCAAAAAAGTATAACTAAAACGAACAAAGCTTATATAATGCACAATGAATCGTCAAATTCTATAAAGAATTTTGGTTCTTACATACAATTTTTTAAATTATTGGTTCTATATTTCTTAAACATGCATTTGTAGAAATATACTTTTGTTTATTGACTACTAAGAAGTCCTGAAGATATTGTTAAAAATTTTGATACAAATATAACTAAGAGAAATACAAAAATAATTGCATTTGCAATATTCCGATTAAAATTTTTCAGCTAAATTGAATTAATGATATCTTTTTTTAAATTGAAGTTTTGATGAATTATTGTATTTTATATATATATATATATATTTAAAATCTTTTAAATTATTACAGACGATACATTGTCATACAGACACATACACACATACATTGAGAGTGTCAAGAGTGATTGGTGATGTAGATTGTGATTGTAAAATAACGAGTATCATTGTACAATACATTAATTAGCTTACTGTCACAGTAATATTTGAAGATTTAGGCACAAGTATCTTCTATTTCTCAGTAACATTAGTATTTCTAGAAAAATTTGTTTTAATAATATGCTAATACGTAGTTAATAGTATATTATTAGTCAAATTTCTTACATAATCATTAAAATTGTAATATTTTAGTGATTAGATCTCTTTAACTAATGTTGTATTTGAGTAGTCATATGTTATACGTATAGTTTTCGATTTATGTATATGCGTGTTATATCTTGGATATTCAAATTTAACCAACATATCTATATTTGTAATGCGTTTGCTTCCTAGGAATTCTCCCACATCTACTCAAACAAAAGTCTCGGGTCCCTTCGGATTGGACATGGAATTTTTGCAAAGGATTGAACTAAGTGCACCGGTAAAATACCGTAATCCGATATTACTGGAACCCAGCTTATCGGATCTAAACGAGGCTCCGATTAATATGTTAAATACGCCCAAGACACAGTAAGTACAATAAAATTAGACTTAACTAAATTAGACTTAAGCACTAATTGGCTTCTCAATTAATCCCTTTGCCTACAATATCGTGTGAAATTCGTGGTAAGAAATTCAGGCCAAACATAAGAATCACAAGTGAGGATCGTGGTTTATTTATCGTGGTACAAACATAATAAATGCGAGCCAGGTTTGTGGTATATAGATCGGATCAAACGTAAACAACACGAGTCAGGCGAGTGATTCAATTGTTGTTTTTCCATTTCAGTTACGTATTATTTTTCCAAAATAGCTAAATAGCCCGATGCGTGACCGACCTTGCTAGATTGTGGCACGCGCCATCGGAAATCGTAATACAAGGGATTAATACTTCGGTTTTTGACTATCTATATATAATCCATAGTTAGAATAATATATAATTCATTATATTATTTACGTAAAAAAAACATATTACAATAGTATGTACAATAGTATAAAATAGCATATATAAGATACTCATTAAGATATTGAAAATATTTATCAAGATTTGCGCAAATAAAAGAAAACAAAATTTGTACAAGTATTCTTTTAGTATATGACATATTATATATACAGTGAGTGTAAAAAGTATTATATTTGTACACAGGAGATTGTCTTGAAGAAGGCTTTATTTGTAGAAAATGAACTTTATTTAATAATTTATTAACAGTGAACGTAATAAGTGATATATTTCTCAAAATTATGTTAATAAATTGTTAAAACTTATTTTCTACAAATAAGATTTTTTTTCAAAACTCGCTGATGTACGAATACTTTTTGCATTCACTGTATATACATTATTAAAATTTTATCGTATTAATGTGCTTCGCAGAATGATACCGATTTCGCCGCCAAAGTTGTTGGTGTCAAAGTCAGCATCTGTTGTATCACCCTCTACCGCCAGTAGCAACGACGACATGTTGGAACGCAACATCTTGTCCATGGCCAGTATGGATTTGCCTACTGCGATACAATCTATGAATAGCATAGAAAATGTTAGTATTTACTCAGTTGACATATGTAATATATGCGTATAGATACCTAATACTCATTATTTTTCTGTGTTATAGTTATTGAAATCTCATCAAGCAGCCAGTTTACAATCTAAGGAAGATAAATTTATTGGATCGATAAATATGCAATTAAAGCTGTTGCAAACGTATCCATTACGCCAAGAAAATGTGGATGTATCCAGAGGCTTTAGAAATACATTCCTGGTTATACTTGTGGTGAGAAACTAATCAATAAAAATCATATCGTTATTACAGATGGAAAATATATCTGAAATTGTAATAAATCTTATTACAAATTGAAAATACATATAAAATTTATAAATTTACATCTTATTTTGTATTATACTATTATGTTATAAGATTTGATAATAAGAAATTCTAGGTAAGGAATTTTATCTTGAGATTTTAATCAGAAATTTCTTTCAGTTTTATGATACTGGATATCTTGGAAAAAATGTTCCTTTCATGCATTTGAAAGAACTGGTAGATCAGATGATAAGCTTATTAGCTGAGAACAAGTTGGAACACTTGCATCAGGCTGGAGCATATTACAGAGTGATTAACAACATCATGGTGAAGATTATCGATAATTCCAATCACACCACCATTATATGGTAACATACAAATGAGAATCATAATATATTCAATTCCAGTTCATATTTTAATATATGTGTTTCTTTTTAGCGTATTAATTAAATTGCTTCATTCTTGCGCCGAGTCAAATGTTCCTTCTAAGTATGAGGAACTAGTGATGAAATGTCTGTGGAAGATTGTGAAAACGATGTCGAACTGGGCACCTGACTTGGACTATGATACAATACTGCTGGAAGTACATCGCTTCTTAAAGGTATGCATTTACATAAATATAAATTTAGAAAAAGATTGTTAAATCAATTTCTCAAATTTTATAGATTTCTTAATGATTTATGGCTATGTACTTACTCATCGTGATGTCGTTCACAGGATTATCCTACTACATGGTGGAAGAAACAAAAGTCTGATACTCCTTTACGAACAGTCAAAACTGTTCTCCACAGTATGACCAGAGTGAAAGGCAGCACGATACTTAATCACTTGACGTTGATAAACAATACTAATGAGTCTGAATTGTATGCATACTTAATAAGATTAATTGCGGTAAGTTATATCAATTTTGTGCCCATTTTTGCAAAATATATATTCGCATCTTGGAAGAAAAAGAGAGTCAATGTTCGTTTCTTCAGTTACAAAAGTCTTAAAATTTGTAAAAATTTCAAAACATGCTAACATTAGATCAGTGAATTAATATTTCAATCATTGAGGAATAAGATTCGAAGTTGAGCTCAGGAAATAATTGCAAATATTAAAAAATTTATACAAATTTTAAGATTCTCACAATTAAAGAAATAGATCTGGCCTTTTTCTTCTAAGATACAGATATACAATATTTTACACAATTATAATTAATTATAGCAGTTATTAAATATGATTGTACTAGTATAATTAATTGTATATATAAAAATTACACAATTAAACATACGTATACATATTAATAATACGTATTTTTTAACGCATATATATACAGAGTCTTAAGCCAGATGAAATTAATGCTACGGCAAAAATGAACCCAAAATCAAATAACATGGGTAGAACGCCGAAACATCTATCTAAGTCCACTCGTCAACAGTTGGCGGAAATATTCAAGAAAATTGGATCAAAAGAGCAAATGCAGGAAGTATGTATTATAAATTTTGATGCCTCTCTCTCTCTCTCAATAACAATTTTAAAATACACTTTAATCGCTCATTTGTTTATAGGGCTTAGCACAGTTGTACGACTTTAAGCTTCAGTACCCCGAAGCCGATGTACAACCATTCCTGGTTAAATCTCATCAATTCTTTCAAGATTTTATTGAGCAGGGACTTAGACAGATTGATCAGGCACGCAAGAGTCAGAATATCTTGTCGCAAGCTAACAATCAGTACTCTTTGGGTAAGTAACGCTAACTAATTAGACTGATCAGTCTTTTCTAGTTAACGTGTTACTATAATTAATATATTACTACGTCAATATTAAATAATTAATGCGATTTATACGAAACAAAAAATATAGAAACCACCGAATCCCCTTCAGCGGTTTCCGATGAAAAAGACATGATGGATCCGATGCATAGGCTTGAGAAACTACGAGCTCTTGAAGCACAATGTAGAACGACTTCCTCCCAACCGAATCCACCATGAACAATATATCGTGCGCATATATGAATTAGGTGAGTGTGACACGATATATATATATATATATATATATATATATATATATATATATATATATATAT